CGGCTTGTATTAACCCTTCCATATTTCAAATCGCTATCTCAAGAAGTTTAAAAGTGATAGAGTGTTCTCACTTTTGGTTAGTTTTGGTTCGCTAGTTAGTCTAATGCCTAATTTTACAAATAAAATTGTAATTTATTATTTAGGATTCCGAATAATGATAATATATTTGTTGTTGTCCCAAAAATACATTTCATCTTACAATTACTGGTACAGTATATGGCCAACAAAAGGCTTTCCTTTAAACAAAAATTTCAAACATCTGGAAGAACCAGATACTGTTCAAGCCTAGTTTTACTTAAATAACTTATATAACAAAAATTCTCTAGGATACAAATTGCATACATTGGAAATTGGATTTGCCGTATCTGTCACAGAAGGAAGGGTGGGAATGAACGAAAGCATAAAAAAGCATCTGATTATTGAGATCCAAGATCCAAGATCCAAAGGACATTTTGAATATTTCTTTTTGATGTCACGACACTCTGTATCTGTAGTTTTGTCATAGATCTAAAATATGTAGTTGTGACCAAAAAGATACTCAGGATATTTTAAGATAAAATGTAGCACGATGTAGTCCAAACCTATTAAACATGTTGAGCCAACCGGAAGTAGCCAAATATGGAGAGATATGACATCGTCGACGAACAATAGACTCCACAGCAGTGATTTATTTAATTGCTACAAGACAATAGTTTCACAGAGTAATTTTTTCATATTTATATCAAAACCATGTATGTTGCCGTAGATCATTTTTAAATTTCCATACGCTGTTCTTAGTTTTGATGCCACGTGATCCCTGAAACGCAACTTAGAATCGAATATCAAACCTAATAGAATATTCTCTGAACTAAATGAGACAGAAAAGAGCTTATTATCATTAGTTACTCGTAGTATATCGTCAGTAACATCAGCCAGAGCACTTCCACAGCTATGAACCTTCCTAAAACCGGACTGTGTTTTGGGTAGAATATTGTATTCTGTCAGAAATCTACTCTTTTGTTTGCCTAATATCTTTTCGAGCACTAAGCTAATAAAAGCTGTAGGGTTTTTTGTTTTTGGAACAGGTGTAACTTTTGCCTGTTTCCAGGATATGGGAAATTAAGACTCTAAAATGCACGAATTTATCAAATGTATTATGATCGGAATAATCACAGGACAACACAGCCGTATTAAAGTAATATTTAACCCGTCACTGCCCATTGCTTTAGATTTTATGCTTTCAATGATAATCTTCCGTAGCTAGCACAAAGTTTAATTGTTGATCGACCTATTCTAGGCGTTTATTATCATAAAAATTTGTTTTTTCAATTACAACCAAGTATCCTTAATGTTGGAGTTCTCAATTTTATGGCGTGAGTATGCTTTTGATATTGATGATTGAATGGTATTTAAAATCCAACTGATCAAATCAACAACAGAGAATGCGAACCAATTCCCTTTTTTTCGTTTTCATTGATTGATTGATGAAAGTTTTTATTTTTTTCTGAAATTCCTCTGAAATTCTTCTGAATTAATTTGGAATTTCCTCGACGTTGTATACAGAAATTTATGTTATACTTGTAATTCCTTAAAAAAATATCTGCCATTCACTTGAAATTCTTTTGTCATAATTCCTGCGCGGGGGTGGGGAGCCGTTTCCCATGATAAGAAATACGACGTTACGCGCGGGAAATGCCCCATAGTTGTGAGAGCTCGTGCGTTGCGTTTTAAAAGGGCCGAGATTAAAATTATATGGAGCTTGTTTAAGACTGAAAATCATAATCGGTCGCCGCGGAGCGTACGAAAGTTCACGTTAAAGCTCTATATACGTAATTTCCGTCGAAATTATACGAATTTGCGGCTTTCCAATTTGTTAAATCGTATAATAACGATGCTAAAAGCTAATTATTCAATTAGGGTACTCAACGATTTGAGGCATGACAAGTTGAAACGCGACGTTTTACCTTTTCTCGGGCTCCGGGAAGGCCAAAAGTCAACTCGACCGATCCGCGAGCACCGTGGATTATATACAGAGCGGAAGAAAAACATCTGAACGTCCTCATTTATGTAACCGTTACGAAATGAGTCGCAATGGGGCTTATGTTTGGTGTCATTGAACATTTTTTAGTTTTTCGTTTATTGTTACTTTAAATAAAAAAAAACAAAGAAATTTTCACGGGCTACTGCAAAACTTTTCGATTCATACTGAAGCCAAATCAGCAAATTCGATTCGTCAAAAACCAAAGCACAAACATTTTCCGTATAAGTATAAAGATTACAATTATTTTTGATGTCTGTAGCATACAACGTACGTTAAAACTATTCGGGTTAAGTATAAATAAGCTCATCACAAACTAAGAAAGCTCAATAAGTTTCTAGAAGACTATTTTTAGTTACGCTTTAGAGCTTAAGATTTCCTGTTTCAATCAGGAAGATTTCCAACAATTTTTGTGGCCACCCTGTACGATGCATTCCCTAAAAACAAATGACGGCGCGAGGTCGCATAGGATTTCTATTACGGACTAAAAACTAAATGCCGTTTGATCACGAGTTCGTCAGCAGAGACAACTCGGTCTATAATTAATATTCTCAGTAAATAATAATTAACTTAGACGCGGTAAATGTAATTCGAGGTTGCGCCTAATTTGACAGTTTTGACGTCGTGTAAACGGGGCCAAGAACCCCAGGGGGGCATTTTATGAAAATATTGCTTCGGACGCGTGATCGTTTTTATATGATACCTACACTTTTCAATAAGGAAATCTTTCAAAATTTTACGTTCAAAGTCTCACGAATTCGTGGATACGCCGACATTGCCTTTCCGCGAAGGAGGTCGAATATTCCAGTTGTCGGCTTCCGTAATACAGTACTTGATTGTCCTTATTTGGACAGCAGGTACGTAATACAAACTTCCAGTATCCAAAAATCGTAGATTTGCATTTTTCGCAATCGAATTCGCTTGCCGACAACGTCGTTAATTATAATTCGACTAGTTTATTTTGACATTTGGCGTCGAAAAACGGTTGCCATTAAAAACAATGTTGGAATGTATCAAATTTCATTATCTGCCGCACTACTGCTATCTAAATATCGTGCTACGTGTGCCTAATTAAATATTTTATCGGCAGTTTCGGGAGACTGTTGACTTTTAGCGCGTCTCTAAGAGAACATTAAACACAATTTTGTAACGAAAACGCGTTTATTAAAATATTAATTAATCGAAAATGCCGGCGCATCTTCGCGATGAGAGTGGGCGATAATTTTCCAATTTAAATCATCCTAGTTAAGCGTGTTTGGGCATTAGTACATTCTTCGGCCTTATACGTTCGTTGATAGCAACTTAATTCGACTGGGAATTGATTCGTTAGTAACTCACGGACGAGGCGTTCAAAATAATATTTATTAACCCACTAATTCGAAATTTAACTTTTCATTTATTAGAAGCGCTTGAAAACACATAAAAATTGCATTTTGTTTTTGTGCTGTTGGAAACTAGCAATATGAATGTCCCAACACTAGGAATTAACACATATCACCTAAGTTGTTGTCTCAAACAATTATGAAAATATCGTATTACTTGTTCTTCTTATATTAGGTCCAAGTCCAATTAGGTGTGATCTTTTTCCTTCAAGTTTTCCATGTCTTGATCGTAGTCTGTGTTTCTCCATTCTCGTTATATCAAACTCTTGACTGGAACCTTCGGCACCGCACTAACACACAATAACGCGTTTTACCACAAACCGAAACCAAGTTGGCATCTTCAGGAGAAGATTAAAACTAAACAGTTTAGTTTTCGATCTCAATTTTACGTACTTGACGCGCGTTTGGCCAACCAAGTTGGCATCTAAACTAAACTGTTTGCATGGCATGGCTATTGTTTTTGCATCCACCCTGTTTTTTGACTCTATATAGTTTGCGGGTTCTCCAGGTGTTGTCTTGCTTCTATGTATTTTAAGTGTGCATCTTTTTTCTCTTTGATCAAAAAATAAATTCACCAGATACACTTATATTATTTAATATCGAAAATTCTGAAAAATATAACGTCAAACTGGAAGCTCTACTCGTAATAAAGAGAAAAATTCCATTGCTTTTACAGGATACTACTACTACTACACTACTATCTACAAGCTTTTGACTTAAAACTTCAGGAGGACCTCAACTGTCGCCTCCTGGGTCACCAAAGCTTATTAGTTTTGATTATTTTCTTTGATATATTAGGAAACCTCAGTTTACCAAAGATCCAATCAGAATGAAAATGAACTAAGGAACCGAGTAATTTGCAAATTAGCGGGTGTTGTTTTATTTGAACGTATCCATTAACATTTTCATTAGTATAAGGGTTTTCGATTACTCTGATTTTCCTCGTAATGTGGAATGATTTAAAATACTTCCGGAATAAAAAAATTACAGTAGCCTGTGGAAGTTTCTTTGAAAAATTAATACTTCCGGAATTTCCAAAGAGTATGCGAACCAATGAGGGAAATATTTCGTTTGCTTCTTGTTGCTCAAAAATAACTTATGTTGATCAAAAAAAATTATTTAACTCAATTGTTTCGTTTTTTGAAACTTGAAACCAAAATATTTCGAAAACGGTCACTTCTACCGACTTTTAATGTCGAGTGGTTCTTCACGTAAAAAAGATTGAGTTTTTTTTTGCATTTGCAAATATAATACAGGATCGCAGAAAAAGAGCTAAATTAAGAACAAATTCAAATTTCTTATATCAAAAAACGGCCGGTACTACTTTTTTTTCTAAACTATGAACTATAAAAGAAACCAAAAAAATGTTCGCACCATCTATATCGACCATATTTACCTTTAAAGTAACTGTTTACCGTACAGAGAAACAACACCCTGTAGGCGGCTGTTTCTTTAAGATTGCCCATATCTCAAAAACTTACTGGAGCTAGAGCTGTAGCAACAAAAAAGGACAAAATAAAATGTACACCAATCGGTGTCGGAGATTAAAAAATGGCGACTGATTGACCCTCACATCGACAGGGCGTCCGAGAAATACGCACCTTGCAGCCCTCGCACGTGAACGCGCCGAAGTGGAAACCAGCGGCGGGTTCGCCGCACACTTTGCATAGCTGGTTCATCTAAAAGAGAGAAACGGAGTGATTATAAATGTTCGCGGAGGTCGGTCAGCAAAAATAAATATTTCAGTAAACCGAACAGCGCGATTAATCGCAAAGTCGCGGATTTACGACGTCCAACGTGCATGTCATCGAGCGCGCATTTTTTGACAGTTAATGCTACAAGATTTTAGCCTATAATGGGATTAGAAAACTGCTTCTTCTTCTAGCTAGAGCTGCATTTACAAATGTAAGGAAAGTATTCTGATCTATAGACATAAACATCAGATTTAAGGTCAGATTAGTCAGACGATATATGAAAGTTTCTTGGCCGGAAAGAGTAACAATTACAGCGATATTCGAGAAAATGGAAAAAAAGTGGTGGTGCTACAATTAATAATACAAGCAAAAATTAAAGAATATCATTGTACAGTGCGTTCAATTTATCTTGATAACATTTTAATTGGATGTAACTTTTTTGTTTTGAGAGATATCAAGGTAAACAAAAAAAACAAAATATAGCGTTAATAACTAAGTTTTTTTCCAAGTGACGTATAAAACAAAATAATTTTCTGACATACATCATATTTTTTTAAAAGAAACACCCTGTGTATTATATCTGTGTTTAATAGAATATCTTATATTCTTATATTTTAGTATACTCGTTTTTGACAAATCGGCAAAATTCGGAAATTTTTATACAATTTTAAAGAGTGCCGCGACTGACTGCAACAACAATAATTATTTACAAATTTACAAAAGTAGAACAAAAACACTAAAACTGACAAGACACACTAAAGTAAAAAATTCTTTAACTATTTTTAATACTGCTGTATGTGACCACCATTTTGCTGAACATATTTCTCATACACTGTAATTGTATGATGTCTTGCATTTAGTAACGTTTCCGCTGGCCAATCACCGTTCCCTATCCAACTTGCACAACATTATGAGGAGGGGCACGGTCTTGCTGTCATATAATCAGCGCTGCTATATTTAGGGGTAAATATTCTATATAGAATTTTATATGGTGCTCTAAGAGTTGCAAAAAATGATCTCCAGTTAATACATACTCCATACATTAATTGATTGGTATCCCTGTGTTTTTATTTCGTGTATTTGTCTGAAATTATTTAAAGACCAATTTTGCGTATTTTGTTTATTACAACCTCTTCTTGTAGTGAATGAACTTTCATTATGTTTATTTAAAAAATCCAAACACAACTGCATCTTCCTTTGACATTGTTCTGCACTTAGTTTTTGAGTTTTACATAATTTAAGAGCATTATATTGATATTCTTTCAAAACTGAGTTTATTGATCCCCGAAAAATACCTGTCTCTTCATATAATAATAATATAGGAATATGTTTGCTTTATTTTCTTCATGTAAACCATATTAATTCCGGCATATCTTTTTTAACAGTTAATACCGTTTTCTGTAAATTTCATTGCCAGCCGTAGAAATATTTGTTTTGAAGGAGCACGGCGCTCTGGATAAAGTCTAATATACTGACGACGAGCTGCGGTTGCACTTTTATTATTCAGAAAGTATACTTGAAGCATATCACTCTTTTGGTGCTTTCGCGAAAAACCATTTTGACAATAATAATCACTCTATTTGTTTTGAAATTATATAAAAATTTGTCAAAAATGAGTGAACTAAAATATAACGTGTGTTACATGACTGTAATCAGAATAAGATATTATATTAAACACATATATAATATACAGGGTGTTCCATTTAAAAATATGATGTAGGCTTATTTTTCAGAAAATTAATAGAGTTTTGCTTTGTACGTGACTTGGAAAAAAAAGGCTACTAACCCTATATTTTGTTTTTTTGTTTACCTTGATATCTCTAAAAACAAAAAAGTTACAGCTAATTAAAACATTACCAAGATAAATTGAACGCACGGTACATCAATTGTATTATTTCGAGTAGTCGCATCAAAAACAAGAATCGCCATGATAATAGCCAACCTTCTAAGAGGAGACGGCAGATAAAGGAGAAAATGGTGTGCAGCTGGGTAGGAAACGAATAGGAGTTCTCTTATAAATACGAGTTATATGCGTTTTCAACGACAAACCTTACAACTTCTTAGATGATCTGTCCTATCACGATTTGTACCAAGTGACGCTGAAAATCAAAGGCAAAAAAATATAGAGTTTGTCTAAGTCGGTGTAAGTGGTAGTAGGTAAGTAGAGAAAACAAATTTATTGATAAAAAACTTATTTACAACTACTAAATATAATCCCAGTTTCTATTGATGCACTCTCTAGTTTATTCGAAGCATTAAGGATGAAATAACTGATTTTCCTTTATATCATTATTGTAATGCAGAAGTCGTTCACCCAGTTCTTCAAGAAGTTAATTTGGTGGAGCATATCTGGACAAATCAAATTATTCGATAATTTTGGATCAGATCGAAGCCAGTAACCTAAAACACATTTTAAAAATAATTATATAAAAAACAAGGCTCTTATATGTGGCAGTCATCAAGCAGCTTGGATCTGACAAAACTGTTAAAAAGAGCTTGCGATATACAAACCCTAGTATAGGACAACGAATGCGTATGCCCCAGAAGCTTTAATTATAGTCTACAACGAGAAGTTTGGTTTTATCAATAACATAATGAAATACGATATAAATGTTTTCATTTAGTGAACTTAACAGAGCGCTGTCTGCAGAACCCCCAATCAACTAATTAATAAATCTTTGTTTAATACCCAAATATTCGCTGACCAAATATTCGCGCAAAGTGTCACTTTAAGATATCAGCTTCATGGCAAATCAAGCTCGATACTACTGCCAAATAATCTCCTATGGCATCAAATAATATCTTCGGGACTTTTAACGTACATAAGGAACAATAGTAATATTGATCAGAACAGATGGGTTCCAAAAACACTCTAAATATCTAAAAACGTTTTTAAATCCAGCAGGATTGCATCTTAAAATTGTTCATTATTTAAGTATGGCATCAAAATGAATAAATAAATTCCAACAAATCCTTAATTTTCAATTTCCTCAACTGAATTAATACCTTAAAATCCCACTTTTTTGCTGTTTCCTGAAAATCCCATTGGGGACAGCAAATGGCGCCGTCATTATATAATTAGGCGACATTTTTATCGCGTTCCCCCATTCATAAGTCTTTTATGCCCCGCGTTCGCCACTGCCTGCAGTTGTCACTCGTGGCAGCCGCCTGCGACGCTTAATTAAGTGTCTGAAGCCGGCCGCGGCCGCGACGTCAGTCAAAAGAAGAAGAAGAAGAAGCAACATTGTCATCGCGTCGTCGCCGCGCGCTGAATATAGCTACAGTTCAATGGGCACAATCGAAGGAGGCACGGGACGTGAGGATCGCGAAGAATGCCGTGGGAATACGATGACCCCCGAAGCGAAAACTGAGACTTTTTATTAGTTAATAAATATATAGATATAGTGTGTGTAGAGGACCGGGATTTCGAGATAAGAGGAATTCCCGTATCTGTGTGCGTGCGGTGATATTTTATTATTAGATACGGATGCGGCGCGAAATGACAAATGGCGCATGCGTCTCTAGATTTATGCGTTTGCGACTTGGCGTTCGATTTGCGACATTTACTGGATGTCTCGCAACATAACTGCGATCGACCGGAAAAGTCCGGTAATGAGCTGGAATTCTTGTTGAACCTGGTACTTCCGCTTCTACCGGAACTAGATGCCAAAGAGTTTTTAAAACAGCTCCTGCGTTTTTCGTGTTTTCTTTAATTTTAATTTATTAAAGATTATTCTTTATGTCAAAACTGACGCTTGCATGGCGAAACCAATGAACTGAAAAGCTGAAAACTGAGGCCCATATTACGGAAAACAGATAAAAGAGAGTTAGTAATGGGGATCTTTGACTTATATCCTATATTGATATTACATATTACATGTTATTATTTATAAAATTAGATCATGCAATAAGTATAAATGACGGGTACATATTAGTGCAATTGCATGCAACACAAGCAGTGACCATTTAAAACACCAGAGAGTTAGGTGTACGGTGTACTTTAATTCCTGGGAATTCCTTCTAGCTCCAAATAAAATTTCAACCATATCGATCAACCATATAGATGAAAATCACTGGCCTGTAATACGGGATGTTTTGTAAAAATAACACGAAGGACTAAAACGAAAAAGATACATGTCGATAATATGGAGTTTAGGATCTGGATATAGATGGAACGCCGCACAATGGGTTAAAACTTTGCAAATCAATGAAAAATGTCCTTACATGGTATAGGTATATTAAATTTTATCGTATTATCAATTAAATTGCATTATATATCATATATTATATTATATATATGTGAAAATCTGAACTTTTAGTTCTTATTTATTTTGATAAATGGATTTTCATCAAGTAGAAGCCACCTCAGTTCAATTATATATCATGATATAATTGCGTTACATACTGAAGTATATAACTGCTATTTTATAAGCAATCATTTTTCACTGGCTGTTACTAAATTTGTATTCAATGCCAACTAGATGTTTGGAGTCCTGTCAATATAAAATTCAGTACTCTTATTTATTTAAAATTTATAAAAATAACGTTTATTGAAATGCAGTTTTGAATTTCCAACTTGTGTAGTTGACGATTGCCACAGCTCGTAGACTTCGTAGTGCGGGTACAGTAGTACTAAGCATTTATCGAACTTATTATTATTCATTGCCTTCAAAACTCAACCAAATGAAGACAATAATGGACTCGTTACTTATATAGAACGAAATGGTATCTAGGTATCTACCTATATAAATAATTAATAAATAAAAAAGGGAATAATCGTTTAAACAGCAAGTGGTAAAAAGTTGATTTTTTAAAGAACCTGAAAACGAATTCTTTAAGGAGAGCAACTATTTTTACTAGTTATGTGGAACATTTTACTTTAACAATACATTACAAAAAATACCAGTGTACGTCCAATTAACAGGATCTATACATATAGGTATATAACGTAAGGTATATAACATAATATATAAAGACGTAATTCAGGACAACTAATCAAAAATTTTGCAATAAATCTATCCAAATTGCTTTAAGAAAATTACAGAGATAATTCCGAAATCGGGTGGATTATCCAGACTATTTTGCCTGTGATTAATTATTATTTATTCTGCTTATTTCTGTTGATTCACACTTTGAACATTAACAGTGGTCGGGCGTCAGAGCTTTTGTAATGAGTTCGACAGATTGGTGGTCATGCTAACCACTTACCCTTAAACTTAAACTTTTCGCCTTCGTCAAAACATTTGTTAGAAATCTTCTTGTTTTAATAGGATTTAACGCTGTTCTTTACACATAAGTCAAGAGTATTTTAGCCAAATCAGATAATTCATTCGCAGTAGCTCCAACCTTGCTTTATTAAGTAAAGAATTAAGAGTTTCTGCAATTTTGCGTGAAGTTTCTGTATTGAAACAATGTCTAACGTACTAATACTGTTCACTGTCCTTGAGAAATTATGAATAAGAGAAATTATCATGTTTGACGACTGTGACGAAGACAAGGAGATTTAAATAAAATTAAACTACGTGAAAATTTACAGGCATTAGGATTTGAAGAGTTAATTAAACTAAAGGAGGCAGTACGGTCGAAGATGTACAATAAAGCAGTTTCTCAATCTACCAAAACACATCTTCCAAAAACCGCAGTAAAAAGAGCAAATTAAAATCGTCCAAGAGAAGCAAATTCAAAAACAAAAGCATCGATGCTCAGTTTAGCTCTACCAGTCCCTTACAAGAGAAATATTCCAAGAGATCCCCGCTTTGATCTTTTATATGGTTCTTATGACGAGAAATTATTTAATTCTAATTATCCATGCTCTACAGAAGGAATAGAATGAATGTGTTGATTCTGAAAGAAAAATAAAAATAAAACTTTTAATTCAAGGACTGGAGAACAGGAAAATTGACAGTCAAAATCACGATAAAAGCGAAAATAAACTAGAAATCAGGGAGCAATTGACAAGAGGAGACAAACCAGTTTTTAAAAGCAAATCTGTAAAAAGAATTGAAGAAGAATGACAAGTTACAAAAACCTATTGAGAAGGGATCCAAGAAATGATCAGCAAGAAATAGAAAGAAACTCATTGAAATGGTGTAACTTTTCGTGTAGAATATTTAAATTTTAAATAAAAATAAGGCTTTGGAGATAAATGATGTTAAATATTAATACATTTTTAAAAATTGAGAAAACCAATATGATGAAGTAGGTACTCCTAAGTACACATGATCCGTTCAAATAATTATTTCACTTTTACTGCAATCATGAAGCGCCAAAACCCTTTATCTGCGAATGCACTGTATAAACTAGACACATTCCACCAAACATGAAGATATCGCCATTAATACATGAGCAAAGTAGTAAAGGAAGACAATTCGTCTACAGAAACATCCAAAATGTTCCCGGTTCACACCGCCGCATTAGATGGGACGCGTCTTACGCAACGGCGACTATCGAAGATAATTTTAACACTTTCCTATAAAAAAATTTACGTTCGGTGATGGTCGTCGAGTTTCACATTTACGTAACCATTTAAAGACGACAAATGGTACGGGACGGCGTCTAAAACAGTGCCGCAAAGAGATCTCCGCATCTTAAACATTCTAGAGCACGTGTTTTGATTCAAATTCGCATATCGTCGACGACCATTTTCTCTATAAGCGTCCGAGGATGCGCCGCGAGGAATTTTTTTCGACGCCAGGTTTGGTAACGAACGAGAAAGTCAAGAAATTATTAGATCGAGATCTTGAAAATGATCGTATTGTATCAAATATGTCAGAGGAGGTGTAAAGTAAGGCCACGTGGACGAAATTTAATGATAAATAAAGTATCAACGAGTTTCGTCGTTACATTACTTAAATAAGAACATAAATAAAGCAAAATTGTGGTGCACGAGCACCTGTAAAAAAACAAATAATATGGAAACAACATTTATGAAAAACAAAGAAGGAAATTTTACAATTTAGCAACAAGAGGTAATTAATTTTGACTTGCGCTTTTTTCTTAATTAACTTAATTTCTTCATCGTTTTTGTGTTGTTTTTTTTTTATTTGTTTATACAAAAAAAATGTAGGCTTAGTAGCCTTTTTTTTCCAACAAAACACTATCAATTTTCTGATATATAAACCTACATCATATTTTTTAAATGGAACACCCTGTATATTATATATGCGTTTAATAGAATATCTTATTCCGATTACAATGGTGTAACACACTTTATATTTTAGTCCACTTTATATTAAGTCTTGAAGAATATCACTTCTTTCAAGGATGCTAAATTCACGAAAACCCGTTTTAACAATAATGACATTATATAAAAAATTCCAGTTTTTGCTGATTTGTCTACTAACCCTACATTTTGTTTTTTTTTTGTTTACCTTGGTATCTCTAAAAACAAAAAAGTTACATCCAATTAAAATGTTATCAAGATAAATTGAACGCACATTGCAATTTCCAGAGCACACAAAAGTTTTCCATTAGATAATAATCATAAAAGTTTACATGAAAATTAAATAGACTAATTAAGCAAACAATGAAAGGAAAAGGATGACGAAATCACACTATGATTACTTATTATGGACACGCTTCTGGAGAGGACCTAGTCTAGCTGGTTTTCTAATAGTAATTATACTTCTTTTGCTTTTAAGTGAATGTCGCAATAAAATAAATCTTGGATTTGCCAATATTTTTAGACAACGTAACATAAATTTAAAAAAAAAAACGTTTTTTATTAACTGAAATCTTTCTTCGTGCTGAAAGGATAGGATTTGTTTAATTTGGATTTGGATTCCATACCGAACACGCGTAAAAGAACCACAGATTTCAGATTATTGAAATTTCTAGAACCACCCATTCTAAACCCTAAGTTTCGGTACGATTGTCGGTTTTAAATTAAATCACAAAATTAACAATAGCAATGTCATATGTAAGCACAAAGCGTCTTAGATCGACAACGCAGCATACGAAAAAAAATTCGGTTTAAACTGCAAACTACCACAGCTCTGAGATTCGCTTACTTAAGATTAAGGGGGTTTTTAATTATGTGATTTTAAATTTAATTCAAAACGTTATTTTCAAATTTCTTGCAATTTGATTTTCACAGAAAATTGAACTAATACTAAATTTCTTCGCTTTTGGGATATGTGAGGCTTTATGACGTCTGCTTTTTAAAACTACTTAGATATTATACTTACAGGTTATCCAAAGTGCTAGAAAACCCTGTATGTTAAAGTATTTTTGGATTAGGATTGGATTATCAAATGATTGATAACCGATAAAATCTACGATTTTTTGTCAGTGCCAATTAAAATATTTATTACTTCTATTTAATGTTATTATGGTCTTGCCCGAGATTCGTCCTTCTATGGATGTTGCCAAAAAGAGGAACTTCGTTAGAAAAAATTTCAATAGGAATATTTTCACACTTTAACCACAGCAGTGTAAAACAATGGAGAGATATCGACAACAAGTTAGAGTACGAACCCTTTGGTAATCAAAACCAGTGAATGAAAGCAGTGATATCAACAGGCGATCATAGCGGAAACCCGAGCGGTTTTTGATAAATATAAACATTAGCCTTCGATCACCGAAATCCGATGAGAAATTTACTGGCACGCACATTATATCCAGCTCCTAGGAAAACAAAAACATTAACCGGCAAACAAAACTACAATTTGTTACAGTGGCCTCTATATTTGTTTTTTTTTTTCGTGTCGTATGATGGAAATAAACTTGTATATCTACAAAATATTTGTGTATAGCATAACAATTACAAAAATTTTATCAGCTAAACCTAGCTATTGAAACAGTTTCAAGCCCTCGTATACGTTCAATATCTTTTATATGCAGTTATGGTCATACGTTTGGTTCATCCAAATCATTTTATAATAATTTTCATATTTTATAATGCTGTCTCCAGAAAATTCGCAAAATCAAAAATCAAATAGCCATCATTCATTCACATTTTAACCACAGCAGTGTAAAACAATGGAGAGATATCGACAACAAGTTAGAGTACGAACCCTTTGGTAATCAAAACCAGGGAATGAAAGCAGTGATATCAACAGGCGATCATAGCGGAAACCCCCTTCGATCACCGAAAACCGATGAGAAATTTACAGGCACGCACATTATATCCAGCTCATAGGAAAACAAAAACATTAATCGGCAATCAAAACCACAATTTGTTACAGTGGCCTCTATATTTGTTTTTTTTTTCGTGTCTTATGATGGAAATAAACTTGTATATCTAAAAAATATTTGTGTATAATATAACAATTACAAAAATTTTATCAGCTAAACCTAGCTATTGAAACAGTTTCAAGCTCTCGTATACGTTCAATGTCTTTTATATGCAGTCATGGTCAAACGTTTGGTTCATCCAAATCATTTTATAATAATTTTCATATTTTATAATGCTGTCTCCAGAAAATTCGCAAAATCAAAAATCAAATAGTCATCATTCATTCACATTTTAACCACAGCAGTGTAAAACAATGGAGAGATATCGACAACAAGTTAGAGTATCAACCCTTTGGTAATCAAAGCCAGGGAATGAAAGCAGTGATATCAACAGGCGATCATAGCGGAAACCCCCTTATTTAAAAAAATCCCAATCACCCGGTAAATTAAAGCCGTTGCATTCTTTTTATTAATTAAAAACCTCAGCGCAAAGAAAAAACAAACAAGATTTACATACTCCAGTTGAACCTTTTGAATTTCATTTTTGCTTGCTTTTCTAATTATTAATAATTTAATAAAATTAAACATACTTATTATTACTATTATTAATATCATTATTGTTATTATCATTATTATCGCCCACTAGGGAGTTTTGGTTCCAATCTGGTATTATTACCCTATATCGTTCACCATTTTGTTAACTTAGAAAAAAATTACATCTCTGCCAACAAAATCAAATCGAAATAATCGCGAAAATACCTACAATCGCATAATTCGCAGCCGCGTCATAATCCATCACCCCGCAGCACCATCTCCGTCGATCGTTTAACAGAAAAAAATCGATAGGGTCTCCGTCGGGTCGTCCTACTCTCGGGACCTTTCCGGACGCGTCATGTTCCCGCGCGGCCGCCACACCGTGTCTGCAAACGCGTCATCAACAACACCGCCAACCGCGCGATTCTTACTGAACAGCATCCTCCGGTACCTGGACCGAATCTGCGGCCCCGCGTTCCGATTTTCGCCAGCGAGGGCGCTACGCGACGGTCGCACCGACCTTGGGAGCAACAAGGCTCCGCCTAGCGCGTGCTCCGTTGGCGCGATCTGGCGGGGGCGTAAAACCTACTACCAATCGCGGACATACGAGGGCGGAGCTCCGGATTCTGTCGCGTAAAAATCGCGGCAATTAAAATCGTTCAGATTGGATTTCGGTGATTTGCGCGCACGAGCATTTTGTCGAGGGTGCTATCGCGCCGATTCGGCTATTTTCGTCGTATTAATCGGGAACACCACAAATGATCGAATGTTCAAATGGTCGGAAATCCAGAACGGCGTTCGGGTTTGGCTGAGGAGGGGTGGTTTATAACAGCGGATCCGCCAACAGCTGAGACGTGACGTATACGTGATCGACTGACAGAATATAGTATTAGGAAAACGGTGCTTGTTTTAAAGATTCAGGATGTACATCGATATAATTTTTTGCTAAACCTACATTCACAAGAATATTTTTTATTGAATATTTTGTTGTCATTACCGCCCCCTATTTATTACAGCCTCCGGCTATCAAATCAGATTTATCGAAATTTGATGAATGACAACGTCCACAATAAAATTCAATGTTTATCAAAATAGTTAGGGTTCACACCTGATGATGGGAATAAAACAGATTATAAGCTGACTGAATTCATTCTGCAATTTGTCGAAGCCAGTCGCGAGTGAGCCTTATGGGCCCCTACCCCTAGCCTACTTTACAAATAAGAGGCATTTCCCCTAGCCACATGAGAATCACATAAACATGTACTTATGGTGATACAAAAATACTTTAAATCTACAGCATCGTGGACCTGACTTCAGGACCTCACGACCCCATTGGTATAGCAGAAAATATTTGTACTGATTGATCTCTTTTATGATGTAAAACTGTTCAAATGGTTGAAATGAAACAAAATTTTATGTACAAGCATTTTAATAATTATTCCCAAAACATAGTATAATAATTTTTTTCCATCCACATTTCCTTGTATTTGACATACAATCCACAGGAACCTTGACCATGTAAAAGCCTACAATAATAACATTTTTTATTTTTATGAAATAGGTAACGTCTACCTTTATACACCTCATTAGGAGTTATCAGTATTTTTTTTAATAAACGTCAAATATATTTAAGACTTCAAAATTTACCAAGAAAAGATGACCTTAGGTATATGAATATCTACTGCCACTTTATACATACATACATGTATATATATATATATATATATATATATATATATATATATATATATATATATATATATATATATATATATATATATATATATATATATATATATGTATATATATATATATATATGATGACACTATATTCCGGGGTATCATCCGTTCGCTTGTTGAACTCCGACTGGAATCCTGCAGACGTTTCGCCACAATCTCACTTGGCATCTTCAATGCTCGCGAGCATTGAAGATGCCAAGTGAAATTTTGGCGAAACGTCTGCAGGATTCCAGTCGGAGTTCAACAGATGATACCCCGGAATATAGTGTCATCACATTTTTCCATCGGTGAATCAATACGTGGGAATATATATATATATATATATATATATATATATATATATATATATATATATATATATATATATATATATATATATATATATATATATATATATATATATATATATATATATATATATATATATATATATATATATATATATATATATATATATATATATATATATATATATATATATATATATATATATATATATATATATATATATATATAAATAAGTCTTAGGTAACTTTTACTTTATGTTTCTTGGGTATGCTAGGAGCTGGTGAATTTTTTGCATAATCCAAAGTGTTTTAATATATCCTCAAAAATGGTCGCAGCTGAAGTATTTAATAAAGATATTGGTAAATCATCTTGCTTATTGAATAAGTTTAAAAATCATCAATAACAATTGGGCACACGTTTTTATTAATCTTTCATGGTTCGTGATAATCGTCGTATGCAATTTTCCGAGTAAAAGGTACCTAAATACAATTTTACTATGACCGCAATGATTTATTTAAAATAATTGAGAACCTTTAAACAAACACATTTATGATAGTTTTGGATCTTTGATTGATTAAAATGAAACTAAATCTTTTAAGCTGAGTCACTGTAAATATTATCAGATGTATTTTAAAAACATTGTAATGTAAACAAATCATAATTATTCTCTATCGAGGAAAATTCTTTCTCTACGCAAACGCTTTGCTGGCCTCGATCCCGCGCTGCCCCGATACGATTTGGACAAATGAACATTTGAACAAATACGGCCATCTCAGGTAAATAACGGACTAAACCCTTGCGCACGTATGTAGTGCCCTCTAGTGAGAAAAAATCCATTGCTCCTGTCTACCGTACATATTTTTACCCTACCTAAAGTCTCTGTCTGTACACCACGACATTGAGCTCGTAACTCAATTTTTAAGGAACATTCCCGCAGCTGCTACTTTTTTGAAAATAACGATGCAGTAAAAAGGAAAAAAACGTTTTTTTTTTCAAAATCATATAGATATTTTGTTACTTTATATTTGACAACAGGTCAACACTTCGAGTAAAATTAAAACAAATTTAAAATTCTCACACACAGTTTCCCGACTTTGACCTGACTTTTTCTCTGGTAATCATCTCATCTTTTTATTTTTATTTATTTATTTTTATCCCAATATTCTTTTAAGACACAATTCGACAACTCCAGACACTTCATATTGTTCAATTAAGTTTACAGTTTTTTCTTTGAGTCAGCCCTAGCGAGGACAAATCTACTTGAAAAGTCTATAGTCTATATCTATATCTATAGATAGATCAAATATTTTTAAAGGAGCGGTGCGTAGTAAAATAAACAATCAACAATAAATGGAAACAATCTCATTTTATTAATTCTGTTGAAAGCTGTTTATTATAGGATTTTGCCTAACTGAATATTTTGAGTGCTTTTGATTAAATTAATTAATTAAAATTAAATTTAAATAAATTTGTTAGAAATTAACCTGTATGTTAATAAAATAAAAGATGATTTATTTGATCACTTTATGATGACACCTAAATATATATTATTAGCAATATGATCTGGTTTATAAAAAGCCGTACATAATTTCATTATGTTAGGGCTGGCAACATTAAATAAAGTAATTATTTCAGTCGTTACCAAGGACGTTTTCTTGATTATAGTTACGTTAGTTTTTCGTGTTAATGGTCCTGAAGTTCTCAACTTATTTTAGCAAACAATTGATGTCTTATCAATACCACAGTTGTCAGATGATAAATAATATAACATTATAATATTAAATATTGATATTATTTTTTTACATTTTTATAGGAAAAATAAATTCGACGGCTATAAAAACTGTATAGCAGTCGACATCATTATAACAGCAGTACTCTCGAATAACTTTCATTATTATGACATCTTACAAATCTCTGACGAAAGATAAAACGAAGGTATTGAACTTGTGAACAATTAGGAAAACAACAGAATCTAAAATTCAAAATAACATCGAATTACTAGGTCGGAGCTAAAGCAATACGTACTCACATGCGTATAATTTAATTGGTTAATTGGTTTGTTGAAAAATACCTTAACTCTTCATAAACGCTTCTAAACCACTAATACATTCGTGGGTCTTTTGATAATTTGTTCTTGCTCCTAGATGAAATTGCAATTACAATGTTTTGCATTAAATAGTGGTTGCTACCAAAGATTTGGATTTTATTGTAAGATCTGCGCTATTTTCCAGCACAAAAACTATTTACGGCCACGTTTGTTTGCTGTCATTAGAATAAATTCGCAAATAACGCAAAAGTGTCTCTCGGCGACATCAACGGTGGGTTGCGCGGCGAACCGATATCTACGTTTCTACTCCTTACGGATAAAATGTGCCGAAATTGTCACTTTAAGCCGTAATGTCAAAGTATTCGTTCTGTTTTGCAAAAATGTACCCAAATACCAATGGTCAAAGCCCTTATAAACTTGGTAACACTGCAACATTAAACTACTAAGTTTTGCAGCAGTAAGATTTTTTCGTGTTGACATGTATACGTACGCGTTTATACATAATTAATCAGCCAACTATTGCAAAACACTGCCGGGGACGTTTTAAAAACTCCTCGATTTCCAGGTAATTATTATCAAAATAATAAAAACCCATTAGTTATAGCCATAAATCTAGAATCTAGGATAGGTTGGCAATTCGTAATAAACTTGGAGAAAACAACGCCGACTATCGAGTTGTTTATTTTTCCACCAACCGGCCTTTAAAAGGACATTCGAAAGGTCATACGTTTGCGCCGTGCTTATAGCAGGTTACACTTGCAGCGAATTTACAGTCATATAGACAACGCCATTAAAATGTACAAACCGCTAATGTTCATTAATCTTGTTTTGACCTAATTTGATTTGTTCACTCTTTGGTAAGCATCTATTTGTAAGGCGCAGGTTTCCGATATCCATAAAAGTTGAAATCGTTCTCCAATATATATTTAAAACAATTTCCTTGAGACTACTACCGACATCTGCCGGACACTGGCAGGACTACTTTTCCATTGAATGTTAGCCGTTACAGTTGCCGCTCAGGAATTCGCTTATATCCAGGCAGATAACGCGCTACAACAATACTATCTCAGCTTTTTACAGTGGTAACGGTTGATGTGTCTCTCTTGCAATCTTCAATCTGTGGTATAAGCCAAGCAACGTGTTTGGTATTTGGAACCGGACTTAGTGTAACGTTTTTTCCTAATTCTTCAGTCTGCTTTGAAATACTTCAATCCTTTATCGCTCGTTTCGGTTATTATAATTCAAATAAGGTAAGCTTCTCAAAGATTTTTCTCTTTTTTTTTTACACTAACCTTCGATCGCAAGGCTTCAGATGGATATCCGGCCAAACAACACCATATACATCAACAACCTTAACGAAAAAGTAAAGAAAGAGGAGCTTAAAAAGTCGCTCTACGCGATATTCTCCCAGTTTGGTCAAATATTGGACATAGTGGCGCTAAAAACGCTCAAAATGAGGGGCCAGGCCTTTGTCATATTTAAAGAAATACAAAGCGCGACAAACGCGTTGCGTTCCATGCAGGGTTTTCCATTTTACGATAAACAGATGGTAAGAATAATTCTCATTTGACCCGACCAGAGTTAACCCTAAACTCATGTGCATTGCACTCTGCACAGTTTCTTAATTAGATTGGTTGCAGCGAATTCAGTATGCCAAAACCGACTCGGATGTTATAGCGAGATTGAAGGGTACATTCCAGGAGAGACCCAAGAAGATTAGACCGCCACCTTCTAAGGATGAGGAAGCTCCTAGAAAGAAGAAGAAAAATAAGGATCCTAACAGGGTGCCGGGTGGAGCCAATGCTGAACAGCCGCCTAATCAAATCTTGTTCCTTACGAATTTGCCCGATGAGACTAGTGAGATGATGTTATCGATGTTATTTAACCAGTGCGTCTATAAATTTTATTGTAAACCGACAGTTGTGACTAATTATGGGCTTTTAGATTTCCTGGTTTCAAGGAAGTGCGTTTGGTTCCGAACAGACATGATATCGCCTTCGTCGAATTCGAGAATGAATTGCAATCAGGCGCCGCGAAAGATGCCTTGCAGGGCTTCAAGATCACACCAACCAATGCCATGAAAATATCATTTGCCAAAAAATAAATTGCATTTTTTTTATGTAATATTAATTTATTAATTAAGACTTGAATGATTGCGACATAGTTTGTAATTTATAAATAGATACATTTTGGCAAAACAGCGAATTATTGATTTCGAGAAGACAACCTGAAAATAAATCCATAGTTCATCCATAACATTTTGATGCAGTAAGGTAGGACGTATAGTTCATTCGTTCCTTCAGTTAGCAATGTAATAATAAATTATAAAGCGAAGTATATGGATTTGTTGGATAGTTAGTATTTTAGGTTTTAAAGTAAATACAGAAGAGCGAATTTTAGATTACATTATTTGTACCAAAGTTTTAGAAACTGCACAAGTTGACATTAAAGACACGCCTGTTTACAATTTACATAATGAGACCCAAAGCAGCTCATCATTTTCGTCAGTTTCCTCAAGTGGATCTAAGGATCAATCTGATTTTAATCAGGGTGCTAAGGAAATTACTGAAGATGCTTTGGAGTACATGGCGGGCTACTTAGCTAAAAAACAAAACAGATATCCCCAATTTAGGAGATTATACTTATAAAATTACTACAGATCATCATTACAGCATTCCCTCTTGGGCACAACAGTTATCATATGGGGGCCTTATAAAGCCTTCTGATAATTTGTTGAAAAAAATTGAACTTTTATTTTGAATCCCACCATGGTGATTCGTTTTGAAAAGGGCAAGGGGTGTATTTTTTATATCATGTACATAGGAGGGTACATATAAATAGATATTATTATTTACCTACCACCTATAAATAGTTGTTATGTATGCCTAATATATTCTGTGTTTTTTAATATGTTCTTTACTAAATCCAAAAATAGGGATTTCTAGTTTATAAGTATTTGTTGATTTTTGTATATTTAAAATGGTAGAATGCCGTAAAACACAAAGATTTACAAGTAAATCGTATCGTTCACTAGTTTTATGTATTTATGTGTAACAATATTTAATTAATATATGTATTTCAAGATAATACATATAAGCCAAACTTAATAGCAGTAGTATTATTTTTACCCTGCCTGACACCCACCCTACGCTACTTCCCAATAATTATTAAATAAGTATTAAAACGATTTAATGTTGACATTAAATGAAAATAACGAATGATTATCCAAACAAAATGCTATATTAGCTACACAAAATACTCAAAGTCCATCAAAACTCGGATCAGTTTCAGATTATTTCCATGCATTTACATAGTAAACGCTCCAATACAGGACTTCACCTACGTCACAGCCAGCGAGTTTTCGCATTGCACTTGCGGGGAGATTTGGTGGATTAGGCAATCCTATTAGGTTTCCGATTCTTGGATAAGTACGAAATTCCACTATAATAAATATATTTTATTTGTTATTATTTATATTATTATTAGTATTTACCAAATTTGCAAAAAAAAAAATTTCAGGGTTCCAACCCCTTGAGTTTTCGAAGATCGTATCAAGATGTCTTTTTTCAAACAAACGGTAATTTTTTTTAAACGCAAATTACACTCATATGAAATAGAGATGCAATTTTGTTATTTGCAGAATATATTTTCACTAAAAAAACCTACACAGCCATCAAAGCAATATAGGGAAAACTGGACGGGGTAGAATTTACTAGGAATATTATCGCCAGGTTAACCTCGACAGCTATAAGGAAAAAAAGCCCTTTGCCAAAAATAAGAAGGAACCACCTGCTATCCCAGTGACTTTGCAGATGGAAACCACTCCAATCAGAGCAACACCTGTATCTCCCCTGTAGGTTGTTTCAACAATTTTTTTTATTGGTATAATTAAAAAAATACATACAGTCGCTACCGGTACGTACCGAGGACGCCTTGCTACGTCCGCTGAATGCGACGCTCACTTTTTCTAACCTTTGGCAACATCTATGTATGAAATATATACCGTTCCTTGACAACTTGGTACTGGCAAATTGCTCAAGGTAGAAGCCAAGAAACTTAAGAAGAAGAAGACAACTTGGCAACGTTTTTCGATTTAGGCACGTTTTTTGTCCAATAATTTTGGAGACTAGGTATTAAATTCCTTTAGTAAATATTCCGAAAAATATATCCAAATGTCAGATGGACCTACAGAACACATAAAAAAGTTTGTCTTCACCTCAAACCGTGATTCTGGGGAGGATAAGGAAGTTTTGGAAGTATTAATTCCCGAGGTATTTTTTTTTTAGAGAAGCCCTTCCATATAAGTAAATATTAGTTGGTGGAGGCTAACTTAGTACTGTACTGTAGGATGTCTGACCCAATTCGAAAACTAACCTAGTAACTAAGTAGTTGACTCATTTTCAGTTGTTACAAGGCAGTTATTCTTTCTATACTTGGCCCAGTGCACCGGTTTTGGCCTGGTTTCTTTGGGAGAACCGAGCCGAACTTCCTGGGAAACATATCTTAGAATTGGGCTCAGGAACCGCATTGCCTGGAATAGTCGCCGCTAAGTGTGGGGCTTTTGTAAGTCTAAGTGATTCAGCGACACTCCCCAAGTCTTTGGCTCACATTAAACGTAGCTGCCAGCTTAACAATTTACCCCTTGGAGAGAGAGTGAAAGTTATTGGCTTAACTTGGGGTTTATTTTTAAGCAATTTTGAGTCAATTGGGGCGCTGGACCTGATATTGGGGTCAGATTGTTTTTATGAACCAGCGGTCTTTGAAGACATCCTGGTCACTGTCGCGTATTTGCTAGAATACAACCCCGGCGCAAAATTTGTATGCACCTACCAAGAAAGGAGTTCAGATTGGTCAATAGAGCATTTGTTAGCGAAGTGGGGGCTGGATTGTAAAGTGCACAGTATTAATAATTTAGGAGCGAGTGGTGGCGTAGATATACACGAAATTATTGGAGACCATAGCATACACTTGTTGGAAATTTCCAGGAAGACGTAATGGCCAGCAATGCAGTAAGTTTTGCTATTTAATGTGGCTTTGCTGGCATTTATGAGGCACAAATTTCACAAAAAAAGTTGAATGCTACCAGAAAATGGAAGCTGTTTACATATTTCAAAGGAGGAAATTAAAAATGTGCTAAAAATTAGCATATACAGAAAGGGTTAACTATTTGACTGTTGTCCATTGTTGTTTGACGGTCCAATGTTGCTGTTGGCTTACTGCATTTTAATTATGTAGAAGTAAGCAAATATTTGGTTGTTACTGTTATTCTGTTGTTGAGTTGATAGTTTGATACACAAGAAAGAAGAGAGGAATGTTATTTACAATTACCTTCGTGGGAGAGAAGGAGGGTAGAAATAGGCCACAATGGGCTATATCAATATCGAAAACACCCGTTTTCTATATTGACATTACCATAGAATATCCTCTAATGTTTATTGTGGAATAAACCTGTGGCAAATTTTGATTTTAAAATGTAATTCTTGAAGGAGTATTTTTAAAAGCATTCTCATAGAATAGAGGGAAATATGTAGGTACATAATTTGAAAACTGGAGTAGACTAATTAGAGACCTATTTCCTGTACATTTTTGAGCATTTTTTTAAAAACATAAAACCGTCTCTGATTTTTTTTTTCATTAGAAGATTGTAAAATTTAAATTTATAGCTAATTCGGTTAATAAGGAACCAAAGGTTTTTTAAATATTATTATTTTAATAAATTATTATAAAATTACTTTACTAGACTGTAGGCAGGAATCAAAATTTTCAATTAAAAATCTCATTATTACCAACCAAAACTATGCTTTTACAATATTTTTCGTCCATTGTCTTTTTTGTAAAAAAAAAACTAAACGCAAACGTGTTTTTTAAACGTCCATTTCTGTGACATACTTTTTTTTTTAAGAACCTCCCTCACTCTTTGTCTTAATTGCTATTTATCAAATTTTCAAACACAGTTTTTGACAGCATTTTTGGGAAATTTTTGTATTCCATAAAGGTAGCACTAAAAAGTATAATCCGGAAATGTTTTTTCAAATGATAAATTTCGTTAATATATTTGATATTGAAGAGTGCCATGACAATTTTAATTTTCAGGCCCGCCAAGTATTTAAACTCTATGTAAGCAATATTCCATGGACCGTGAGTCACAACGAATTACGTCAGTACTTCAGCAAATACGGTTACGTAAATTTGGCGAGAGTAGCCTTTGACAAAAGTACCGGTTTATCAAAAAACTACGGGTTTGTCTTTTTCGGTAACGAAGAGGGGTACAACAACGCAATCGGTGCGCAAGTGCATAAACTGGAAGGGTTAATTCTCAAGGTGCAGCCTGCGGATGCTGACAGCAGCGACTAAAATTTAAATTCAGTCATGGGTAGCACAGATGATTATAGTGATCTTTCAGAGCTAGGTATAAATATAAATGAAACCGATTCTTTAACTGCGAATTTCAATAAATGCGCAAAGTACCTTCAATCATTAGCCGGTAGTTTAGATAGCGAAATATTGTTAAAGTGCTATGGTTTTTACAAGCAAGGGCTAGAGGGCCCTTGTAACGTTCCTAAGCCTAGTTGGTATGACATGAAGGGCAAAGCCAAATGGGACGCTTGGTGCAAACTGCAGGATATGTCCCAGAATGAAGCTAAAACCAGATACATTGAAACAATTATGGAACTAAGCCCTGATTTTGAACTCGATCAAGCCGATAATAAAAACGAGTCTTGGGTTAGAGTCTCCACGATGCCTGAAGAACGTTTCGTCGGTCAACAAGTTGTTAGCGATTACATTCGTGATGGGGACGTTAATAAAATCAAAGATATTTTGCAATCCGCAAGCAAACCAACGTTAGATAATTTAGATGAGAAAGGCATGGGTCTAATTCACTACGCGGCTGATATAGGCAACTCAGATATTCTCTCTCTTCTTTTGACTAAGGGAGCGAATATAAATCAACAAGATTCTGAAGGACAGACGGCGTTACACTACGCGGTTTGCTGCGGTCATCTCGATTGTGTTAAATTGCTTTTGGCCAAAGGAGCTCGACGGGATATCTTCGATAATGATGGGTACAGCGCTGAAGATGTCGCCAACGACACAGAAGTTAAAGAATTGTTTTCTCAGTAGTTATACTTGTAGTTTTTTGGGTGTTGTAAAATAAAACAATTGCTAATTAACTAGGGATTGTTATTTTAGAATGTTAGAACCATATACCTATGCCAAGTCCTGCAAGAATTGATGCATCTCGGGCGGCTATGATGGGAATGATCTTCCGCGCATGCGTCTAAGTTTCAATAACTAAAATACACTTTACGCCACTTACTTTCTAAACAGCGATTTCAACACACTCAACTCGTTTTTCCCAGAGCATTTAACGGGAGGTTTTTTTGAGAAATACTTTCGTAAAACATGTTACTTCTAAACTGAAATTTGTCGAATTGACAAACCATCAACGACCATGGTGGTTGCTTAAAAGGAGATTCTAAGTGACCGCGCATGCGCATATTAAATATATTAATATATAATATATATTTTCCATCGTCGCTTCCAAAATGTGTGTTATCAGCATAGGCAGGGCCTCTATATAACTAATAGCTATATGAGGCGTTCTTATAGACACGACCAATCAAATCAGGTAATGTAAGATGTATGTTAGTCCTAGACCACGGACCATAAAACTTGCTCAGGTAAGCAGTTGACGTAATTAACTATTGAATGTGAAATGAGGGATTACGTGTTACAAAAACAGCATACAAATTAGAACAAACTTTATTAACAAGATTATTTTTGCTCTGTCCCTACTTTGTCAGTATTATTAGGTAATTGTAATAATTTTCTAACCGATTCTTCATATTTAGATACAGTATAATCATTCTCGCCTAAAAAACATTTACCTTTGGTGATGTAATTTTTTTTTTTTTCACTTACCCTCATTCATATAATTCGAGACCGCTTCAGAATATTCCTCTACACCAGATATCTCTACACATTTTTGGCCAAAAAGTGCTTCTACACTAGCTTTAGAAGGACTCTTATCCCAGTCATAATATTCCATATCAGCTTCCGATTTCAGCTCTTCCCAAGGCTCGATTTGCTAAAAAAATACATCACTTACCTTAAAACTAGTTATAAGGGCCTTACAATCCACCAACCAAAGATTCATGATAAAGAGCGGTCAGCAAGTACATAGCGTAATCATAGTTTTGGGATTTCAGGGGGCACCTATCAGTTACTATAGTGACCATATCGTTTTCCTGATTGTATCTCTCTCCAACCAACCTCAAGAACTTGTCCTTAGCTCGTTCATTAAGGTTTAGAGTTGATAATCGAAATCTCACAGTAACTATCCTTGCTAAAGGATCTCGAATTGTGGGTGAGCTGTGACAATAGTCACTGGTGGTTACTTCTATAGGAAAATGTTTGTCGCACTTCTCATCAGTATCTAAAGCTTTGGGCCATGGTGTACAAAATTTTTTTAAAGCTTCGCATTGCCTTTTGATAACAGGAGGAGTTAGATGTAAAAAGTTGGGAATCTTCATCAATTCCGCATTGGCCCATTTATTGGGCGGGGCACCTTTTTCTACATAACCTTGATAAAGTGGTAGTGGCACTGTTGCGGGATGAAATGATCTAGGTCCAGGCCAAACATTACCCCAATCTTGGTCTACCGCCATTTGATTTGTTCTGAAATTTTTTAATTAAAATAGAAATATTTTAAGGTTAGTTGGGAATACCTTGGGGACAAAACTGGCATTTTTTTTGGTTGGCGCCGTTGCTGGACTTGTCCTTTGACGTGTTTCAGATTCAGCGGTTTGAATTCATCTAAAATGGATATTTTGGTATACATCTCTATGTAGTATTGGTCTGATTTAATCATACCTATTTTTTCCTGAGTCGTAGTGGAATAACATAACTTTAATTGTTCAATTCTTTTGAAGAAAATTTTCTCCACATTTCGTGAAAATATAGACATTTCAAAAATTTTTACTCTCCCCTGCATAACCTAAAATTATCAGATTATTTAACATTAAAGGAATAAGGAAGAAGTTTCATGATCTAACCACTTTTGGGTTTATAATAGTTGTAATGGATATAAAGATTGAATTTGGGTAAGTTTTTCAAATAAATCGCTGAAATCCTGAAGTAACAATATTTTTAAGAGGCGGGGCAGAACTTTTGTTTGGGAACCAAAAAAGTCACCAAATATCATTACCTGAAAGAAATCCACCATGTAAGTTGCAAATGTAGCTGTATAAATTTAAAGGAAAAACTGTTTGTTTCAAGGGACGTTGGGCGATTTAATAATTTGGATTAAAGACAACCTACTAACAGAACGTCCTGACCTTTTTTTACAAGGTGATACAGTGTAAGTTTTCATGTCCATTGTGTACATTTATTATAGTGTACATTTATTATTGATCATTTTGTGATTTTTTTAACTTTAGGAGGCCTGGGATATTAGTATTAGTCAATGACACAGATTGGGAGTTAATGGTTGGTTTCATGTTTTTCACAAATTCATTTAGTAAGTCTAATACTTTTAGAGCACCACTGGATATAGGATACAGCCAAATGACAGCATATTGTTTATATCAACTTTGCATGGTGGTTAATTCTGTAACTTATTCCTCACTTTTTATAAATATTTTTAGGTTACTAAAGTCAATTTATTATACATTTAAGTTAACTTCTCAACATTCGTTATTTGTGATCCCATGTAACTGAAGAAGTTCTGGAACATAACTTGATGCTTCAGTTTAACAACTTTCATATTTAAAGTAAAGTTGTGTCAATGGTGATTGATTCGGTCATACCAAATTGTAACAAATTGAATTCGCCTTGCGGAATATGATTCATTTGGATGGTTTAATTTTGAACGAAATATCTATTTCCACACAGGTATTTAATTTAAACAAATTAATGTATTACTCGTACAACCCAATACATAGCACCTAGTTTGATAATTCAAATGAATCTGAATCGGTCGCTCCGACTGTTTGGATTCAGTGACTATGTTGGCAACAAAAAGTATTGAAATGAACGATTGATTGAAATGATTCGGCCCTTTTCGATATCGGTCACTGATAGGTTAGGTCATCGTAAAATGAACGATTGACACAACGCTAATTTAAAGCTAATGTGACACGGACCACAAAACGGACAAGTTGTTTTAACATTAAGAAGAGCTTAATGGCGGTTCTTTTTGTTCTTCTTTTTCTTTTTTTGGGGTTGGCGCTACTATTAGGCAATTTGCCAGATAATCGAGACTGTTCTCCTGGGGAAGTTTACTTTTCAGACTTCTGTTTTTTATTTAAGAGGCATAAAAAGCTCCTGAGGAGATAGGGTCCGTTAGTAGGCGGCTCAGAGCACAGAAAAACAAAAGACAAACAGGCAAGACGGTCACTTCTAAAATACAAAAAAAGAACGATCTCCAGCACTATAGAACTTGGGACGGCCGTTCCTGGCCTAAGATGGACCATGGGAAAAACAACTGATTCAAATACATATAATTTAAAATTCCCTAGTATTGTTACTAGTCTTGTTTTGAAAAAAAAATAGATTTTGAGTAAAACAAGTGGCGAAGAACTCGGTGTTTAACTGGTTGTCTAATCGTTAGAATATTTAACCTACAGAGACGATGTATCATTCGTTGGATCTGATATTGATTTATTTTACATTATATCCAATAAAAGTTTTGTGCGTTCACAAAGGATTTTTTATGTGTTTCCACTAGCCTTTATTAATTTTAGAAGAACTTGAATACGGTCGTTTAACGTAATGTTGGACGAGCCGAAAATCGTTGAGCAACCGAAATTCAAAAAGCGCTTTCGGAAAAAGCCAAAGTAAGCCCGTTTATACAAATTTGTCGAGGTTTTATGTTAACCGATTCATTTACAGCAAGACTGAACCAAAAGTACGTAAACACAGTGAGGCTGTGCAGACTGACGAAAACATCACAAATGTCTCCCCGTAAGTTTCCGTAAAACCTGTCCTTTGTATAAGCTTTATGTTACTCTGGATCGTAGCAAATATGGGCCGATGCCAAGGTTTTCCGGCCAAAGGTTGTGGAGCAAAGCAGTAGTCATGTTGGGAATCACACTCTACATTTGGTACTTTTCCAAAAGCAATAGAGAATCCGTTTTGGCTAGACAAGACAAAACATATGCGGGTCGAGGGCAACATGTTGAGTGCGACTTAGACTATCTGGACGAAATACGTCACTATCCTGGTTGCGTTCCTAAAAAGTGTGGCCGCTATGTCAGCGATCAAATTGTGACAGCGGAAGAGGCTGATGTTCTTTTGTGGCTTGCCAAGAAAGGCATGTCGATTGGGGGTTCCACAGGCGGAGCTACGATTATGGATTTACACTCTGGGGCCTTGTCGTATAAAGACAATTTTATAAATTTTTATACCATGGTCAAACAAAAATTCATCTCTCCATCAGAGTTGACTGTTTATCAGATTGTAAGGACAAAAATTCAAAACGCCATAGCTGAATGTTTTGGTATAGATGTAGACAGTTTATACTTGACACACCCCACGTTTTTTTCACGGCTTACCGGTAAAGATCCAGTCACAGCCCACGATGAGTATTGGTTAATCCACGTAGATAAGGTAATCGTTGATTTGAAAACTTACGCTGTGCGTAAATTTTTCTTTCGTTAGCACACCTACGAGTCATTCCACTACACCTCACTTCTCTATCTGAACGATTACGGCATCGATTTCAAAGGCGGTCGTTTTATTTACCTGGACCAAATGATCGATGCCAAACAGAACGTTTCGGTAGAGCCGCGCAAAGGCAGGGTGTCGATGTTTACGTCGGGGGCAGAAAACCCGCATTACGTGGAAAGGGTAATTGAGGGCGAAAGGTTCGCTATCACGATTTCATTCACTTGCGATGAGAGTAAGAAAATTAGCGATCCGGTGGATCGCTGAGGCACTTTCACTGCATTAAAGGCGTGTTCTTTGAAATGTTGCATTTTTTCTTTCAATCAAACGAATCGCCGAATTTATTTAGAATCCTTATGATTTATTCAAATTGAAATTTGCAATAATAGCGCCATCTAGTTAGGCTTTTGCCATAATCACTAACAATTAGTAAATTACCGAAAAACTATTCTAATAAATTACAATTATTAAATAGTTTGGATTTAATTGAAAGAATCAGTTAAATTTATTTAATTTTTGAAAGTGCTAAACGGCTGTGTGAACGCGGCCTTAAGTTCACAGAATAGGAAAAAACACGTAATTTTAACAGAATAATACAAGAAGTTTACATTGCATAACAATTCACAGTATTGAGGTAATTTTTGTGATGTCGCGCAAATGCACAGGCCCCCAATATGGTTGCAGTTTGTGTCGTTTTGTTATAGGATAAACGCGGTTGAACCGCGAAAAAGCGCTAGCGGATATACGATTCTTTGCACGCATTATTCGCGGTATTAATGGTTATAAAACGGTAAGTGTAAAAACTTCCAGCACCAGCAATATTTGCGCTCTACTTAGGCATGCTCAAATTTTCATGTTTTTGTTTTTGCGGCATAGGGTTTACGGCATTATTTCTAGCGCAATGGATGAGAAAGTGCTAAAACGATGCCTACTAAGCACAGAATAAATGATAGATTTACCCAATCTGCATTCAAGGAATAAGTGAGAATTTTTATAAACCTGGTATTGCCGTTAATTAATAAGTGTTCCAATGTCTGAAATGTTTCAAAACAAATAAAATCATAATTAAAAGAGGCCCTAACAGGGCTAGTGGATTTCAGAACTGGAGTGTTGTAATTAATTTTCGTTAGGATTAAAAAAAAAACTAACCAAAACTTGTGTGCCATTTTAATCGACTGGGAAGAGTTATGGGAGTTAAAAAATGAGCAGGAGTTTATTTTATTGTTATATTAACTGTCATTTTTAAGTATATACAACCACAATCTTTGGTTTACTCTAGCGAAACAATGGCGAGCTAAGCAACAAGCCCACCACTGTTTTCGCGCGCAAGAGTAATTTTAACATATAAAAATAAAAGTAACATTTTATGTCCTCATTCAAATCCTACTACCTAATACCTAATACCTAATTTGTAATATTAATTTATCACGACAGAAGTTTTACTTAAGAAAAGTAAAAATTTCGTATTTCATACAAATAAATTACTTACGCAAAACTAACCATTTAAATATTTACACGAATAAAACTAACCAACAAAATATCTAACTATGGAATGTTGTCATGGAGTGCTTTTTTTTGGGAAACGAGTCTACACGTGGTCCTTCACCTACACCTTGAGGACGTCCTGGTGTAAAATGTTCGCTATTTGTTCCACGGAGCCGCTCAGCAATATGCTTCGGTGATTGCCTTTTAGAGAATCTACCTTTACCTTTTGTTGGCACACCTGCAAGAAAGATGAAAACCTTACGCCGCGCTTAAGATGCGAGTAGATTAGTGCTTTTAGTGCTCTAGTGCTTTTTTTTGTAAAAATCAGTGAAGAGACCTAAGTTGGTGAAGTATAACACTCTAAGGAGTTGCCAACAGGCTCTATCTATATTAGTTGACCGTAACAAGGTTTAAATGGTAGGCTTAGGAAAAATAAAAATGTACAAAGGTGTTTAAATTGTGAAGAAATAAAATTAATGTCGCCAAATCTAAACGGTTTAGAAAACCGCGACCTGACTCGATTATTTTGTAAAAAAATTGTATCAAAGGTTCATCATCATCATCATCATCTCCTTCCACAGTATTCTGTTTTGTGCCTTCTGCTTCCAGTTTCCCGCCGTTTTTCTCAGGTCGTCTTCCCATCTTGTGGGCGGTCTTCCTCGATTCTATTTTATTTTTTGAAGGTTAAGGGTTTAGAAATTATCATTTTAAAGGATGGGGCTAAGAGTTCGATTGGTTTGATATAGAGTTAATTTTACAGGCGAAATCTAGAGTGTGACTATAATCTTTGTAGAAAAATCGAATTAACATGACTGACTCGATTGTAGAAATAATTAATCTCTTAAAGGCGAAACCTAAGCGACGTAGAACGATTTTTAGTAGGCAAGTCTTAATATATAGACAACTCTAGTTACTTTATGAAACATCTTGCAGAAGAAATCTAAGCGCAGTAGAAAGTTTTAGAAGGATTTGATTATTTGTAGAAAAATCGTGTTGCTCTCAATTCCATTGTAGAAAAATTGAATTTATCTCACAAACACTGACCTGCGACAGTCCGTAGTCCTCGTCGATCTGCACGTAGTTGTCGCTAGCTTTCACCAAGGTGACCGCTCCCTTGAATTTCCCGGACGGCTTGTACTGGTCGGCCGCCTTCAATTTCTGGTAAAAGCTGAGCGCGGCCGCGCTAATTTGATCCTCGGGGAAGGGAACCGCGCCGGATAGGATCTGAACCGTCCTGGCTACTCTATCCTTGAGAGATTTGAGGCTCGACAGCTCGCCGACAACCTACAATCACCCAGCATCGTCTTACAATTTCTTCCCGATCCCAAAGGCGACATTAACTTACCGCTTGCTGGTCCACCTCTTTGAATTGCAAGATGAAGTAGCATAGGGCCTCGCTCTGTTCCGCCACCTCCCCTATATTCATCTTGGACCGCGCTTTGCCCGTGTGGGTGGCGACGTAAGTCGGAGAACCGTCGATTAGCAACAGTTTGACCGACTCGTTGAGTTTTTCCAATATCAGACCCATTTCAAAGGCGATACAAGCGCCGAACGAGTAGCCGATAAGCGTGTAGGGACCCTTAGGCTGTACCGATTTGATCTGCTGTACGTAGTAGTTCGCTAAATGGTTGACGGTGTCGAGCGGAGCCCTCGCGGTGCACTGGAGCCCGTAAACCGACGCCTCGATGTTTTTCGCTAACACCCTGAGCGCGTCTATGAACCCTTCGATAGGGTGAACGATAAACACGGGCCTCGCCTTTTTGTCGCTTGCTTTGCTCGGCATCTCGAGCAGGTCCTTGCTCGGCATGATCTCCGTCGTGTTCTCGAACGTCAGCTGGTCGTCGGCGGGCTTGGCAGTTGGCGCGGCGGACGCCGCGCCCCCACTACCTAGTTCCACCAGTTTACCAAACGTCAAACCTCTGATTTCCTGGGCGCTCAGCACCAAATCATAATTCCTCTCGAGCGTTTGCTTAATCTCTGCCCCCATAAGCGAATCCATACCGAGGTCGGCCAGGGTGGCGGAGGGCGCCACCGTCGACGCATCTTTGATGCCGAGGATGTTGGCGACGGCGTCGATCAGGCTCACTTGGTTAGCGCCGCCGGCGGCTTTGCGCTTTTCCGCGAGCACCATGCTCGCGACCACAGCATGTGGCTGTTGCAGGAACACGTCGATCGTGTTCAGGCACGATGGCATCCTGCAAGTTATTAGTTAGCGTTTATTTCCAGCGCGCATTTCCAGTCTATATATATATATATATATATATATATATATATATATATATATATATATATATATATATATATATATATATATATATATATATATATATATATATATATATATATGTATGTATGTATGTATGTATGTATGTGGGGGGTAATCCCAATACTAGAAACAAGAGAAATGAGGATGTTTGTTTGAAGTGCTGAATTAAATCCAATATATACTAATTTTATTAATTTATTAATTCTCTAAAACTAATTTTTGTCCAATTCGTTTATTGACGTGTTTTATACTAGTTTTTAATTTTTGTTTTCAATACGTACAGTTTTTTAACCAAATTGTCCATAGGCAGTTTTCATAACTGTCTGCAATTACCAGACTTGCGACGAAGGAATGAACTTAACGAGTTCCTGTTCTACTACCATAGGCAGGGCCTCTATATGTCTAGTAGCTATATGGACTTGATAGACAAATAAATCCCCCACCATTAGATACGTTGTTTTTCTTTTAATTCTTTCAATTTGTACAAAAAAGTTTGGCGATAATTTTGATACTTTACATAATCAATAAAAAAGCAAAAAACTAAATTTGTTGGAAGCTATGGAGATTGAGAAAATGAGATATTCGAATCTATTAGTTAACGACCAATTGGATTTAAATGCATCTTCGTTGCTAAATTTAAATTTATAACCCTATAAGGGTAATTAAAAATCTATTACTACCAAAGGTGTCGGAATATTGTCATATTTTGTATTTAACAAAGGCAGGATGTTGCCAAAACTTACCTTTGGGGTAAGGTGCCGCCCACTTCGGTATCGTTCCCGCCCATGGTCTCCAAAATGAGACCCACGTCGCCAATAGCGCCCCATTGGATCGCCACGCCCGGTAACCCCGCCTCCTGTCGCGCCTCCGCTATACGTTCCATTGCCGAATTGGCGAGGCCGTAGTTGGACTGACCCATGTTGCCCCTTCCGCACGACACCGACGAGAAATTGACGAAGTAGTCGAGGTTGGGCGCCAGCGTCCTCGACGCCGCGTCCAGCTGCTTGCTACCGTCTACTTTAGGCCTGCACACCGCCTTGTAATCGGCCTCGGTCTGGTTCTTCATCATCTTGTCTCTCAGCACCGCGGCCAAGTTGAAAATACCGCCCACCGGTCCCAATTCGTTGGACTCTTCCAGCAGACGCTTTGCCCCCTTGTCCGTGGTGGCGTCCGCGGTCGACACCAAGACCCGGACTCCCTTTTCCTTCCACCGTCTGATGCACAACGATTGGTAGCCGGTTTTCACGCCGCTCCTCGACGTCAGCACGATGTTCCTCGCGCCCCGCGTCACCAACCAATTGGCCAATTCGAGACCGAAGCCGCCGAGTCCACCTACCAACACGTAACTCTTCTCCGGATCCATGTACGTCCTGGGTATCGCCGTCACCGTCTTCACGGTCGGCTTCTGAGTTCGTCTACTCTCTTCGTCCCTGATCTTGAGTAGTACCTTGCCGATGTGTTTGCCGGACGCCATGTACCTGAACGCCTGCTCGACCTGATTTTCGTTAAAGACCGTCTTGGGCAGGGGTTTGACGGCGCCGCTTGCGATACCGTCCGAAACCAGACGCATAACCTCCTTCTTTTCGGCACTGTCCGAGTCGAACAACGCGTCGAGTAAGATCCCGTGGAACGTGGTGTTTTTGAGGAATACGCTCATGCCGAGCGGCGAGTTGTTGCTCAAGTCCACTTTGCCGATTTCGAGGAACCTGCCGCCGATCGCGAGACACCGCACCGACGCTTGGAGCTGGTGCGCGGCCAGCGAGTTCAACACCAAGTCGACACCGCGACCGTCGGTCTGCGTCAACACGAGCTGCTCGAAGCTGGTGTCTCGCGAGTTGCCTATGTTGTCGTCCGTCAGCTGCGGGAACGTTTTTTTCAGGAAATCTTTCTTCGCTTGGCTCGACACGGTCGTGAAAACCTTGCAGCCCATATGGAGGGCTATGGCGATCGACGCCTGACCTACGCCCCCGGTACCGGCATGGATCAATACCGACTCGCCAGGTTGCATCCTTCCTCTCACGATTAACGCGTAGTAACTCGTACCGTATACGACGGGGATAGTTGCCGCCTCTTCCAGACTCCACTTCTCCGGCACCTCCCACAAGAAACCCGGGTCCGCGAGAACGGTAGTGGCCAAACTTCTCGCGGCAACCATGCCCATTACTCTCCTTCCCGCTGTATCCCTACCGGAGAATTCCAGACCCAGGATACAGTCCTGCCCGGCCAGGTCGCCCGGTAACGCGTCGGGAGGCAACTTTCCCGTCGCCAACATAATGTCTCTAAAGTTGAGAGGGGCGTAGTAGACGTGGCATAGCTCAGAGGCGGGATCGTCTCCCTTATAGTAAGACAGGGGTCCCTCTATCCATCTTAAGCTGGCGAGATCGCCTCGCGTCAGGGTGTTTATGTAGGCGTGTTCCACCTGGAGGGCGCCGCTGTCGGTGTGCTGCTCCAGCACTATGTGCCTATAAGTTCCCCACACTTTGTTTTTCAGAACGTTGTGAACGAGGTCTTTGCGCAACTGCTTCTCGTAAGCGTTCAAGCTGAATTTCGGGGCGGTCTGATCCTGAACGAAAACGGATCTGATGTTTCCGCCGCCGGGCTCGCGCACCAGACAGTTGATCAGACCGACCAGTCCTGCCAGGGGCTCGTTTTGCACGAACACGTAGATCTTGCTGCCGTCCTGCTCGCTCTTCTCCATCAACTCTTTCAACGGTTCCACCCACGAGAAGTTCTTCTCTGTTATCTGGATCACGGCCGCAGTCGCGGACACTTCCACCGACTGTCTTAGCAAAATATAGGACTTGGTGCCCGTGGTTTGCGTACTGACCACCTCCAAATCAAGAGCGGAGAGTCGCTTAACGTCTAACGCTCCTTTGGCTTCCTCCAACAGGACAAACCCTCCCTCCTTGAGGGATGTTTTGGCGTTCTCGACCAGCGAAAGCTGGTTGTAGGCGATGGCGTCACTCAACACGACCAAGTGGGCGTTGGTATCGATCGCAGAAGCCTTGACGTCTTTTACCACGTTCTTAACGCCGGCCGCTTCAAGCTGATTGTTTGACGCGTCTATAGCGATAGAGGTCACCACGGTCGCGTCTACGGAGAGCATCGGTTCCTTTTCAAGGATTTCGGTCAGTAACGGAGCCAGCACGTTCTCCGCCGGCTTATCGCTCGCCACTTCCGTCACTTTGAGCTTGAGCGCTCCCGAACTATTCTCGAGCACGGTCTGTAGTAGAACGGTCAGCGCATGGTAGCGGCTCTTTTCCAGATCTTCGCCGAACGGCTGGTTGTTCTCTAAAGGCACGAACTGGTACTTCTCCAGCTTCGGCGCCGCTTGGGTCTGCTGACGACGAGGCGCCAAGCTCGCTTTCATCCCCCTCAGTTCAATACCGGCGGTCTTTATCACCCCGATGTTACGGTACATGTTCACCTCCACCCCTTCGCCCTCTTGGATGGCTTTAAGGTGTTGTTTGGGGTCGATGAAGGCGCGTTGGAGGCGGGTGGGCAGGTAGAGTTCTCTAGTGTTTTGGCCCAGGATCGAGAACTGGAGCATCGTGTCAATGAAGCTGATCCAGTTGCCCTCCCACTTCAGTTTGCCGTTCAGACCGCGATTGTCGCTCTCGATTATGCCTTTGAACGTGCCTTCATAATCGTATCCTCTTAACCGGAGCTCCTTATAGATGTCGGACGAGTCCAGCGCTAAAACGTCTGGTTCTTCGGGAGGTGAGAGCTCGGGTAGAGTCAGGGTTTCCTTCGAAGCGTCTTCGGGTACGCGAATCCGGCCGCTCACGGCCACCGAACCCCCTTCGCACAACTCAAAATCGCCGGTACCTTCGAAGATGTTGATGAGAAATTTGACAGACCCTTCCTTGGGCATTATCGTTGCTCTGTGGAACTGAACGTCTTCCAAAATGACGGGCATCTGTTCGAAGTCTTCGTTTCTCAGTTTGGCGAACGTCTTCCACACCAACGTCAAGTAACCGGTTGCCGGGAACAATACTCTGCCGTCTATTGCGTGCCCGGCCAAGTATTTGTCCTGGTCCTTGCTCAGGTCGACGTCGACGACCAACTCGCCGGATCTGCTACCTTTTCCGGCGAAACTGGCGACCGACCATTCGATCGAATGGTCCCACTCTACCATTGAGTTAAGCATGGGGGTGCCTCTGCCGACGGGAAAACTAACTGGGTGGTAAATGTTGCCCAATTGGGGCTGAGCGCCGGCCATGTAAATCCTGCGAGAGAAGAAGGTGTAGGAACGAATTCCGCGAGAGATAGTACCGAGAGGGAACACTTACTTTCCGAGCGCCGATATTAAGAACGCGATGTTGTCCTCGTGACCGCGTTTCACCAGACTGATGTTGGTTGCTTCAGGGCCGAGGGCCCGCTTCAGGATCGCTTGCAGGAGGCCGGTTGGCGCGATTTCGACGGCGATGGCGTTCTTCGGCACGTGCTGCAACGCCTCGTGAAACAGTACCGGCGACAGTAAATTGTTCACGTGGTAAGCCGCGGAGGACTGTTGAGCGAGGGGCGTGCCCCAAGCCGACTCGGGGATCGACGACGAGATCCACCTGCAAAAAAGACGCGGTCCACATGGAGGAAATGTTATTATAACTATCAAGAAATTATTATAGAGAGATTTAATGAATGACGAAAAAGAGAAGGAGAGGCAGAATCTACATAGATATCTAGAAGATATATATGAGTTAGATTGATGAGATGATAAAGGACAGGATCGGAATAGAAGGAATAAACGTACGGATGGATGATTTGAAATCCTAAAATTAAAGCAAGATATGGAGGTTCAAAATGTGTGTGAAAGATCGAGATTTAAATAAGATGGCAACAGAAATAATTGAATTGAAATGAATAATAAGAGTAAGAAATGAAAAGGAAAAGCAACGGATTGGAATAGAAAAAATAATGGTCAGGCGTAAAATCATAGGGTTCTGAAGTAGGACGACTAAAATAATAAGAATAGGAAACAGTGAAGGTATTTTTCAGACAACCTAGAAAACCTAGATTTAGAAATAAGGTGATAAGAATAGAAGGATGCAAAGCATGGATTCAGAGGGGTCTGAAAAATGAATATTAAAAGAATACTAATGCAAGGCATAGATGCAGAGGGATTTGAAAAAAGCGAGACTAAAAGAATGAGAATAAGAAATGGAGAAGATAGAGATTTTATTTTTCAGAGAACCTAGAAAACCCAGAATTAGAAATTAAAGCAGAGGATGGGAATATAAGGAATAATAATGCAAGGCACAGCTTCAGAGAGATCTGAAAAATGGGGACTAAAAGAATGAGAATAAAAAACGATGAAGATAAAGCAGAGGATGGGAATAGAATTGATACTAATCCAAGGCACAGCTTCAGAGGGATCTGGTAAAGGGGACTAAAAGAATGAGAATAAAAAACGTTGAAGATAAAGATTTTATTTTTCAGAGAACCTAGAAAACCCAGAATTAGATATAAAATAATAAAGCAGAGGATGGGAATAGAAGAAATACTAATATAAGGCACAACTCCAGAGGGATCTGAATAAGGGAGTCTAAAAGAATGAAAATAAAAAACGGTGAAGATAAAGCAGAGAGATAGGAATAGTAAATGTGATAAGGGGGGGGAACTAAGAAAATGAGAATAAGAAACGGTGAAGATAAAGATTTTATTTTTTAGAGAACCTAGAAAACCCAGATTTGGATATGAAATGATAAAGCAGAGGATGGAAAAGAAGGAATACTAATACTAATACTTTCGGAGGGATCTGATAAGAGGGGGACTAAAAGAATGAGAATAAGAAACGGTGAAGATAAAGATTTTATTTTTCAGAGAACCTAGAAAACCCAGATTTGGATATGATAAATGATATGATGATAAAGCAGAGGATGAGAATAGAAGGAATACTAATGCAAGGCACAGCTTCAGAGGGATTTGAAAAGGGGAGACTAATAGAATGAGCATAAGAAACAGTGGAGATAAAGATTTTATTTTTCAGAGAACCTAAAAAATCTAGAGAATAAGAAACAGTGGATATAAAGGTTTTTTAAATCTCTGGAAAAAAGGAGACGGAATATCTAGAAAATACAGAACGACTTGAAACATGATCAAAGGAACCAGACCAAGTCAAAGGGGACCTACCTGGAACTCCTCGGTTTTGGGTTCGGGATGATGGCGTCCAGCGCTTTCTTAAGTTTGGGCCCCGCATCGGCGATATATTTGCTGTGGAACGCGGTGCCGGAGCTGTTGACCGCCTTCGCGAAGATCTCATTGGACTGCAGTTCCGCCACGAACTAGACAAATAATCATTAACCGGCCGTTTTTCTACGCCGCACGTCACATTTACCTTATTGATGGAATCGGGAGGTCCCGAAACCGTCACGGAGTCCTCGCTATTGTGACACGCGGGGAATATGTCCGACGGGCACTTCTTCTTCGCGTCCTCCCACGACAGGCCGACCGCGGCCATCGCGCCCAACGGCAGTTTGCTTTCGAGTATCGCGCGCCCTCTCGAGTACGCCGCGAGAACCGCCTGTTCGGCGGTCAGGGTACCGTCCGCGTACGCGCATCCCACCTCGCCGACCGAATGGCCGACGATATGGTCGGGTTCGAGCCCTATCGATTTCAGGATATCGGTCAGCGCCACTTGCATAGCGGCGATCGACACGAACGAGTTCAGGACGTTGTCGAATGTTTTGTCGTTGCCGTTGATGATGATGTCTTCGAGGTTAAGACCGTGCGGTCTGAGCGCGGCCGCGCATTTATCGATCGAGTTTTTGAATATTTCGAGGCGCATCAGATCTTTGGCCATGCCGGGCCATTGAGAACCCATTCCCGAGAACACGTAGCAAATCGGACGACCGTCTCCCGACACCGCAGCTGACTCCTCGATGACGTCGTCCTTCAAGACGGCGTAACCTCGGTAATGGTGTCCGTTGATGTTTTTCGAATGGACGCGATCGACGAGCGCCAAAAACTCCTCGTCGTCCGCGTGCCGCGCGATTTTCTTCAGGAAACCCTTGACTGCGTCTTCCGTACGACCGGACACGCCCACCACCCTGGGAATAGGACCCGGCGGCCACGCCTGTTTCGGCTTGGGGTTCGATTTTAACACGATGTGCGCGTTGGCGCCGCCGAACCCGAACGAGTTGATACCGACGATGCCGCCGTTCCAGGGCTCATTTTTCGCGACGACCTTGAGCCGGCCGTCGCTCAAAGCTGGAATATCTTTGTTGGGGCTCTGAAAGTGTAAATTTTGAGGGATCACTCCGCTCTCCATCGCTATGACGATCTTGGCGAGCGAGCAGAGCCCCGAGGCCGGCTCCGAGTGACCCATGTTGCTCTTCACCGACCCGATTAGTAACGGGGTCGGTCTGTTCTTGCAGAAGAAGTCTGCGATCGAGTTCACCTCCTGCGGATCGCCCACCTGCCAGAGTAAAAAAAAACTATGCCCATTACATGAATATACGTTCGCTCAATTCCGCACGGTGCTTTGACCATTAGCTCTAGCACAATTAAATTAGAACAAAAAGTGTTCAGATTTTCACAGTTATTTAATGATTTATGACAGCTGTTTCGGCAACACCGTGCCTTTATCAAATACAAAATATGACAATATTCCGACACCTATTCGAATATTTCATTTTGTTAGTCTCCAAATTTAGTTTTTTGCTTTTTGATTGATTATGTAAAATATCACAATTATCGTCAAAGTTGTGCATTTCTGAATTTAAATGAATGGCATATTTGCAATCCGAACGTTTATTTTTATACGCCCTTTTATTTACCCGTTTGTCCGATATAAATTTCAACTTGTAGACTCTGGATTTTTGAGTTTTTCGTAATTTAGTTTTGGTTAGTTTAAAAAATGTCCTATGGTGTTTTCAGTTTTAAATGCAATATTAAGACCAAATTTAGATATATGTTTCGACATTTTCTTGCTAGGTTCTCTCTGTATTTTATTGTCTTATAAATTTTTGGTTCAGTGTTTAATATGGGATAGATAGAGTTTAGTGTTAACCATTGTTAAAAGATATTTGTTTACAATATTTAATTCTTTTTCAAAATTTGTGGTATATTAAGTAGTCTGTAGATAAAAGCATAAAACGCAGTCATTTTGTGTGTGTCAGGGTGATTTGAGTTATTATGTATTATTGTGTCCATGTGTGAGGGTTTGTGGTAAATGAAAAAATTTAATTTATTCTGTAGTTTAGTTATAGTTAAGTCCAGAAAGTAAAGATAACTCTTTAAAGTACGGTTATGTATGGAGGTAATATGATTCAAAAAGGACTGCAGTTGTCTTTCTATTCCAATGAAACAAGCGAAACTCTTATCTAGGTATCTATACCACCAGAGAAATCCTTTATTCAGAGGATGTGTATGTATGATATTTTCTAAATTGTCCATGAACATTTCTGCAAGTAGTGGACTAAGTGACATTCACCATAATTAGCAATACAAAATTGACCATTAAATTCGAAATAATTTTGGTCTAAACAAACTATTCATTTTTCCCTGTAATTAAAAAGTGATGAATCGGAAAGTACTGTTTTGTTTTTGATATAACCAGGTGGGATCATATTGTAAACTTTGGTATATGTCTGGTTTAAATGGGGGTCTTCGTTGTTAAATTTAAATTTATAACTCCACATCGGTAATTAAAAATCTATTACTACCTGTTTTTATATACATATATATATATATATATATATATATATATATATATATATATATATATATATATATATATATATATATATATATATATATATATATATATATATATATATATATATATATATATATATATATATATATATATATATATATATATATATATATATATATATATATATATATATATATATATATATATATATATATATATATATATATATATATATATATATATATATATATATATATATATATATATATATATATATATATATATATATATATATATATATATATATATATATATATATATATATATATATATATATATATATATATATATATATATATATATATATATATGTATATATATATAATATTGTCATATTTTTTATTTGATAAAGGCGCGGTGTTCCCGAAACAGCTGTCAAAAATCATTAAAAATTATGAAAATCTAAACATTTTTTGTTCTAATGTAATTGTGTTAAATGGATTTTCATCAAGTAAAAGCCACCTGAGTCCAATTAGCTCTAGCATTTCGACAATAGCAGTGTCGCTCGTTCCGTTTCCGTAATTTTTTATATTTGAGTACCCACCTTGGTCCCGGTACCGTGAGCCTCGACGTAAGCGACGTCGTGCGGATTGACCCCGATCTCCTCGTAAACCTCTCTGATAAGCCTGTTCTGCATCGCGCCGGCCGGAAAAGTGATCCCCTGCTCCTTGTTCCCGTCCGTGTTCGTTTTCGCACCTAACACCGTCGCGTACACCCTTCTAGCGATGCTCGCTTTTTGCAAGAACACCACGACCGCCGCTTCCGAGCGCACGTATCCGTTACCGGACGCGTCGAACGCCTTGCACATACCGTGAGGCGACAACATGCCCAATCTATGGAACTGTAACGACGACGTCGGTTTCAACAATAGATTGAGACCGCCGACGACCGCAGAGTCGCACTGGCCAGTTTGGATGGCGTTTACCGCCTGCTGGAAGGCGAACAACGAGCTGGAGCAGGCGGTGTCGATCGCGTAACTGGGTCCCTTGAAGTCGAACGTGTAAGACACTCGGTTTGGGAACATCGCCCTGCAACAGCCTGTGAGTCCGTAGCCGTTGATCGTGTCCGGGTCCTGGGCGGTCCAATATTCGCTCGACTCGGAATCGGAGACCCCGATAAAGACTCCCGTACGAGAACCTTTGGCCTCGTTCGGGTTTATTCCTATCGGAGAAACGTTAATAGATTTTTTACCCACCAAAGATTATAGAGAACAAAGTAAGAGTTAAAAAACGGGAGTCGTTGACCAAACCGTCAGGCAAATCAGACCTGCTGACTATGCCCTGACTAAAATAGAGGGCAAAAGGGGAGAAAAATAAGAGTCCGTGAAAATAGATGAAATGCGAAGTTTCTAGATAAGAGTGAAATGAGATATATCGGCAAGCAACGCACAGATTCAGAATGGTCTGAAGTATGGAGACTAAATGAATAAGATACGGTGAAGTTGAAGGTTTTTTCAGAGAATCTAATAAACCAGAATTAAAAATTAGATGACAACGCAAAAGATGGGAATAGACGGCATAGTGAACCTGAAGGAGAGAACGAAACTCAATGAATGAGACAAAGACACGGCGAAGATGAAGAATTTTTCAGAAAACCAAGACAAACCAGAATTGAAAATGAGGTAATAAAGCAAAGAAAGAATAATAATAATATAAGGCGATAGATCCACAGCGTTCTACGTTGGATCACTAAAGGAATGACCTATTTAATTACGATGAACGACATAGTGACCTGAAGGAGAGAAACTAAATTAGTGAGAAAAAGAGACATGGCGAAGACGAAGAGAAGAGAAGAAAAACCAGAATTGGAAATAGTACAGGGCAATAGATCCACGGGGTTCTAAGTAGGGTGACTAAAGGAATGATCTATTTAATTGCGTTATGCAATTGGCAATATAGTCCGGTGACGGACAGAGACAGACGTGAGCCTGCATCGCCTTTACAGGTGTCGTCAACACAACGTCTCCACCGGCAATGGATCCTTACTAGATATTCTTCGTGAAGTGTGGCACAATTATAAGAAGCTACCAACAATGGCGGACCGTAGGGTGACGAAAAGATAGCAAAAGAAACAAGCTCATGTTAACTGCGGTTAGAGAGAACGACTGTCTCGAGGCCTCTGATAAAACGTCCTACGAATAAACGTATGACCAACACTCTGTTAAGGATGAACATTTTGATAGGAATGAAGACTGCAACGATATGCACAAAATCGACATCGCAAATGCTTAGTGCTAACTTGGAACCACATGCTTAAAACACTTGAAGGGCAGCAGAAAATAACACTGGATTGGATGGAAATCAAAAGGCCAATCTGTCAGCAAGGAACGATTCTGAAACGTAATCATTACATCGCCACACACAATGCAATCAACGCTTGAAGAACAGAAAGATCTCACTCACAGAGGCTGGAGTTAGGCAACTTGATAGAGTGCGCCACAATGGGCCAACGTAGGAGTGATTCTCTGGAGTGCGCCGCAATTAGAGAATAAGCCGCACACAATAAGTTATGTACACTCGCAAGGCAATAAGGAATCATATGTTTAGAAACAAACTTACCGGCATCCACCATGGCTTCGTGTGTCAATTCCAAGAGCATCCTGAGCTGTGGGTCCATTACGTGCGCTTGTTTCGCGTGTACCCCGAAAAAGGTGGCGTCGAAACGACTCAAGTCTTTGATTTTGCCGGTCCTCGTAGGCAAACCGTATAGTCCCGAGGGCCAGCGGCGTTCGTCGTCCGTAACTAAGTCGACACCGTCGAAGAGCTGTTGCTTAAACTCCTCGATGCTGTTGCTCTCAGGCAGCCTGCCTGATATTCCCGTGATGACGACATCGTCTGCGACGCGATATCCGTTTACTGCTTGCGTTTCTGGTACCCTGGCCGGCATCTTGTCACGTTATAATGTCTGCAAAGGTTTAAAGTGTTTACAGCCTTATTAGCGTTAAAAAGCTAGTTAGCGAGATATTGTGCGTATTGTTAAGGCGCCATTGTTACGTTAATAGTTTTTATCTGGTGGAATGAACGTCGTGTATTCGACGAACGTTGCCGTTAAATCGGAAAAGACCGGGATTATTATAATATGTCCGTAATTAGTCCGCCTATTAGGGAGAATTTCCGACACGTATTTTTTGGTCATTATGGTGTAATGATATTGCGCGGAAATTAACACGAGTGGCTTTGATTACCGAGAAAAATATTCCGTAGAAATTCGAAACAAAATTATTTTTAAAGAAAAGTTGGCATGCCGATACGTAAATTTCGACCGTATTTCGACGATTGCTCACGTACTGCGAAGGGAGGAGAGATGCGACTCCGACGAACCGTCGATCTGTGGTTTAGTCTATTATTATTATTAGTCAATTTTATGAACAATTTTTTCTTTGGAAAAGCTCCTAATAAAATAGTTGACAAAATTAAGAAGTCATCTAAAACGCTCAAAAATTCATTTCTAGATGTAATTGGAAGCATATATATACATTAGACCATTCTCTCAACAGGAAATATCGAACTTAATAAAAAATAAAATAAAAAAACAACAATTCTGTATCCTGAATCCATTGACTTCCTTGATAAATGCATCATTAGCAGAGAGAGTTTTTGTGACTCCCATCTTTAAAATGAAAATCAATCACAATATGCAATAGCAATCACATCACACTTTGCTAAAACATTCGAATATGCATTGCTTGACCGCTCGACCGATTATTTAAGTAAAAACAAAATTTTGGCTGAAAGTCCAGGTAGGTCAACCGAAACAGTGATTCATTTTTGGAGCACGCGCGGCAGGGATATTTTGTGATTTTAGCAGGGCGTTTGACTGTATGAACCTCGAAATTCTTTTGAATAGGATGGAACAATACGGAATTCGTGGAAAAGCTCCGAACTGGTACCGCAAGGTACAGTGCTTGGCCTTTTTATCAATGAACTCTGTGCTCACCTGCCTAGTTTGGGTTTATCAGAGTTCGCTGACGACTGTTCAAATTTAATTTCCTCACACCGTTATCAAACTCTTGAAGATATAAGTAATTCTGCACTTGTACTGCTCAATAACTGGTTTAAAACCAACGAACTCTTTTTGAATGTCCAAAAAACAAGTGTACTGATATTCAAATGCCCACAAAAAAAACATTTCTCAGGGAGGCCATTGAAATAAAAAAAAAGGCTAAATTTTTAAGACTAGACTACACCAGGACGACGAAACCTTAGTAGTGGAAATAATTACAATATTATATGGTAATTCTATTTTTATCCTATCTGGGAAGCGTCCCTGTGCTAATGGTCTCAGACCTTCAGGTTCATTATTCCCATTTGCTCCCTTTGTTATGGCCAGTTGTCTTTTTCTAGGGATATTGGTTCTGTATGGTGTAGTAGCAGTGAGGCAATTTTTTTTAGGAGACGAGTAATAATATGGATTCTTGTCTTTGTCATACACGTTAATGCTAAGGAGATAAGCGTAATAAAGGATTGTTTTACATTATTTCTCAGTTCATTTTACAAAATGAGGTCTATTTTGAACCGAAAACATCACAGCAAGATTCTCTCCTTTATTAAAAATTACAAGGGGAAATAAAACATGGTCGATAAGAAGGGTTAGATTCGGATCGGGTGACATTGAAATCGTATAGCCGTGACCTTTCCTCTATGTTCAACGCAAACTTTAGTGTCAAATTTCGCTCGCGTTTTCTTTTCGTCTCTTATCGCTTTAAGCAAACAAGGTCGACTATAATTGTGCCAGCGTAAGCGTCGTCGCGGGTTATCAATTGCGACGTTTTAAAATTTAAATTACGTAAAAGTAATTTGTTCTCATTAAACGATTATGCCCGATTATATGCAAAAATGGTGGTTTTAACGCCGCGGGAGGGGGGAAACGTATAACGCGGTAACAAAATATGTACGGCACAAGCAAATATGTGTTTATGTTATTTAATTTGGAGTGCACAATGTTATGTAAACGAGGCTGACAATAGACGAATCGGCAGATTGTCTTAAATGATAAATAAATAATACCTCGTCGTGTACGTTAGCAGTAGATGAGTTCGCTAATATACTCTCAAAAATGTGTATCGCGTAATACATTTTCCAAGCTTTAGCATCTCCATGTCTGAAGAAAATATAAACATTAAATCGTTTCTATAATGGAAAGCGAAGTAATCAAACGAACACCAAAGTAACAGGGACATAATAACGGGAGTTACAAAATTATATTAAGCTCGTTGTTATCAGGACCGTTAAGTACAACGATGTTCTATTAGAAATACAGAAAACAAAATTATTGATAACTTACATTAATATGTAGTTTATACCTCCACGTGCTGTAAGAACGCAAGCATATCACAAACTCATAGAACATATCTGCAAACATACTAGGCAAAACAATAACGTTTTGATGGTAGAGTGAAAACCAAAACAGAAAACAAAATTTGGTTTGGTTGGTGGCATCGATTCAGTTAGTCTTCGTAAATAAAAATAATCAAGATTATCTCAACTATAGCATGCTCGACTTCCAGAAGATTTTTTGAAGCAACATTTCGTATTTTTAACTTCAGTAGGAGATGGAGATACCAGCTATTCAGATACAATTCTTCCCACGTGTGTGGAATGATGCATTAAGATGAACTCCTGTGCAATATATGGCACAACATATGATTCTAAAAGGTCTCTTGTATTGCTCCTCCATTCACATCAATTGATAACAGACTCATCACTAAAATTGGATTTAAATTTCACCATCTCGTGTGTAAACTCGTATTTCTCGATCAGAAGCAAAAAATCTTGTCTAGTCAGTAAACGAAACGTGCACAAACGTCAATAATCCATGTTCCCTGAGAAACCTCAAACGGGCCGGGCAATGTGCTCTGGTGAGATGACGCACTGTTGCTCGGATTCCGTTCCCTCGTAACCTATTACATACAGTTTGGCTTCTTGCTATGGCATTTCGCACATTGTTTAATTCATTTTCATCTTGATGATTTGTGCAGCGAGAAAAAACAAGCCTGTAATTTGCAGGTTCTCTATACCGAACAGACTATCTAGACACATTGATTAATATTCGTTAAGTTCGCAACATAAGTTTGCGCCCGCAATACTTTTGTAGTTAAATTATTCATTTCTTCTTAATTCATCAACTGTCCATACGATCTGGAAATTTTACAAGAACAGGGGTTTAGTTGATCGTTTTGTACACCGTATGCCAAATAAAATTATCTACCATCTGGAAACCCATAGGAGATACGAAAAAAGTTTAGTACAAAAGTTTCTTGGACTCTCCTGATGATATAAAATATTATAATTTTCTTGTTACAGAGTGTCCCAAAACTGTCCCATCGACGTCATATTTGTTATTTTAAATGGAACACACTGTATATTTCGCACTTTTTTGAACCCTTGGTTAAAATAAAAGTCTCTTTCTTAAGAAATTCCTATTCGAATTTTGCATAGTTTAGGCAGAAATTGAGGTTATGTGTTTTTTTTCATATTTTGATTGCAACATATAAAATTGTGTTGTGACGCTACTGCTCCAGGAAAATTTATTATTCATTGAGTTTGACCTCGGCTTATACAGGGTGTCCCATATAGGTGCCGTTTTGGCGATTTAAATTAACAAAATCACAAATTTAAAGCTGCCCACATTAGGTCACTTGTTGGCAATACTAGGTATTTTTTAAATAGCAAAGACACGATACTACTACTTCAATTTTTTTCAATTTTTTTTCAAAATTACCACGTATTAATAGACAATAGGTTTCATTCGTATATCTGGAGTATATCTTTAAAAGAAGTTGTATCATGTCTCTGCTATTTAAAAAGTATCTAATATTGCCAACTAGTGACCTAATGTGGGCAGCTTTAAATTCAACAAGAATTGATACGAGTGTTTTATCTTAAATCTCGCATATCTCAAAAAGTAAGTAAAATTTAAATATAAGATAAACTACAAACTTACCTTATTTTTGTCCTAGAATTGATAGCTGGATAAAAATATAGGGTTCCATTTGAAAATCTTGAGATTTTGTTAACTGAATCCGCCAAAACGGCACCACCTATTTGGGACACCCTCTATAAGCATCTGTCAAACTGATCATCTCCTTAGTGTGTGGTTAAATTTTCGTAGCGATACCTGGATCAGTAGCGGTCACAACACAATTTTATATGGTGCAATCAAAATATTAAAAAAAAAACACATAACCTCAATTTCTGCCTAAACTATGGAAAATTCGAATAGGAATTTCTTAAGAAAGTGACCTTTAAACTTCAGGAGAGTCCAAGAAACTTATGTAAGAAATTTTTTTTCGTCTCTCCTATGGGTTTCCAGATCGTATAATGGATCGTTTTATTTGGCACATGGTGTACGTTTCTATAATCTCTACAAATATTATGCGTGAATCTTTTCAGTATTTATATTCCATCTTACTGATTATGCGATTCTTTTTTTGCGAAGTGTATTTTTATTGTTATTGTCTAATGGCGGACCACGCTGCGACGCCGATGGTTCAATGACTTGCGAAAAAATAAGCGGTGCAAACTTCTCCGGCTGCGAGGCAATACCGCTCCATTTTTTTTTTACTTAACGGTACACGCCTCGTATACGATTGTCGTCGTAGATCCGTTTGGGTTTTTGCCTATGCGGGACCCGCAAAAACGCAAATTTTTAAAATACTCATGGCGCTTCTTTTTGGAACCCAGGTATATCCTCTATATTCGTTTCGGTAAAATCTGAATCTTATCTGTACAGTCATCCGATCGGTAAAATCTGAATCTTATCCGTACCGTCATCCGATTTTAGGGCATGTCGAAGGTCGAGTGTTCGTCAGCTGTATTTAAATTTTGACAGATCCCATTTTGGTTAGTCATATTGTTCCTATTTCGCGAATTCGGCTCGTTTAAACTGACAGTTTGGCAACGTCGCCGGGAAGAACCAGTGTCACGGCGCGTTGATAGGTGGGCCAATAGGAGAATGAACACTAGAACGAGATTTACTTTTTCTTTTTAAATAAGATGTGAAATTTTATTGAACCAATTTCCAATATTCGCTAAAAGTTTTTTGTTTATTACGAACCAGGGTCCTTAGAAAGGAACCTCAATATCCTTCTAATCAATTCTTTTAGATTTTATTCTGTATACCCTGTATAACTTACAACAGAGAGGCTGTAAATAGATCTATTTAAATTTATATTGCAGGCCTTAACTTTGGATAACAATATTTCACTTTTTCGATTCAACTCGCTTTTTAGTCAATCAACAATTGGTTTCGAAGAAACGTGACCGTGTCTCCCCAAAGAAGTATTTTTAATTTTAAATTTAGGAAAGGTTATTTTACTTTATAATGTGCATTTCGAAAATTATCCTGTTACCTTTTGTCACTGTGAATTGGCAATTTTGGCGTATTCGTTTGTATATTAAAGTTAATAAAATTATATCCTCACTTTTGATTGATTGAAGGAAATGTTTGACGTATCAGGGAAATGAAAGGAATTATTGCACAGCAGAAAGAAGAATAAAATATGGGATGCATTTTTAAATTTTAATTTAGGGAAGTATTTTACGTTAAAATCTTCATTAGAAAAAATTTCCTGTTACTTCTTGTAATTTTGTTTACATAACAATAATTACTTAAATCTGTAGCGTAGGCGTTAAATTTTCTCGACAAAGTGATGGTAATTGTAATTGAAAATTGTGTAAAATTGTATTAAAAAGACGTACGAATTTGGGAGAGAAAGTTGACACCTTTTAAGAATAGAAGAATAAAATTGTTTTCCGCGAATCGTCTTAATCGATATTACCACCGAAGCGAATTTTTTTTTACCGACACTGAAACAATTTATCGATTTTACCCCGAAGATTTTCACCCGCGTCGTAAAAAAAGCGACCGCAACCAAAAACCTCGACGAAAAAAATATCGATTTCAATTAAAAGAAAAAATACTCACATTTTTCCAACAAAAATCAAAAAATCCCCAGCGAATCACCGCAGGCAACGAACCACCCTTATCATTTAAACTATGCAAAATCAATCAAAATCCGCACTTTTTCCTCTTTTTAATGACGTTCGCGTCGCGTCCCTTTACGCCCCGTTCGTCGAGGTTTAATTTACAAATCGTTAACGGCGAAAAACGGTGCGCCTCGTATATTGCCAAAACACGACTAGCACTGAAAGCGGCGCTGCACGCCACTTTATTGCGGTCGTAGTCGCGCGATGCTCTTCGGCCAATCGCGTGGCCGCTTCGTGCCGAAAATCTGCTGGCCGACTGCGATGATCGATATCGCAACGGCTGACTGCCCGAACGCCGGCGTGACGACGCGCGGTCGCCCCGGGTCGCCGCGACGCCAACGACGCCGGCCCCGTCACCTGTTGAAAAAGGTATGCCGTCCTCTGCAAGAGGGAGGAGGCGCCGGTCGGTGCACTGAGCTTTGCTTTGGACAGGTGTATTTCCCAAGTTCGAAGAAAATGTCAGATGGAAACGGAAGTTTGAGGGGACAGAAGTGAAAACTCGAAATCTTCGCCTTGACGTCACAAGACAGTAAATTGAACATGAATATCGATTTTGCCAACAAGTTAGGTTAAGGTATGGCGGCTTTATGTAAAACAAAGAATAACATTTAGGCTACGTAATTCTACAATTTGATGAATTAATTTAATTAATGCTGAAATAATGACAGGTAAAAATGGAAGTGTGAGGAGGCGAAGCGGTGAACTTCATAGACTTTAAATGCCGTGTATTGCAATTAAAACGTGTTATACTTCGGCCAGATATATAGTGCTTTTACAACCCACTTTGCCTACTGTTTATTACTCCAAAAAAGCAGCCCTTTATAGGACACCCTGCCGAGCAGACCCTGACCCGTAATTATTCCAGAACCGTCCTAGGAATTTATCTACCTACACTAACAAGCGGGATATAGGTAAGGTTTCAATCTTTTTCTTGAAAAATGTACATAAAAAAATTAGTACAAAGCAACAATTTATTACGTTCTATGTCACTTGTTTTTATTACTGCTCCTACTTCCGTCTTTTTTATTTGCTGAGGTAGTTCGTCTTCTAAATTGTCATTAGGTTCGACTACCATCTCCACTTCGTCTTCAAATTCTCCGTTGTTTTCCGTAATATATACGAACATATTGCAATTAAGATTAAACTTATTTCTTCTTATATGCGCTTTCATCTCAATCGGGTTAAATATACAATGATCGGGGGTAATCTCAAGATTTCATGTCCGTTTTGTTATGCTATCGAATCGATTTTGTAGTCTTTATTAAAGTGTTTTATTTTTAATAATTCCAGAAGTTGTTTTTTCGTGTAGCTCTCTTCAAAATATAAATCATTTTCCCACAGAAATTCTTTAATTTCTTCTTTATTTGAAGAAATATTAAGATTTTTTCTGATTCGGACTGAATGATACGAGGCATTATCCGACATAATAGCAGTATTTGGCGATAGTTTTTCAAACTAGTCCTCAAATATTTCCACGATCACGTTTTTATGGTGATCCACACTTGAATCTTTGACGTTTAGACAAAAATAAGGCATCTTCGACTTCCATTAGCCACAGCCTACTTGCTAATTTAAAAATCTTCATGTTTATTTTGACAATGTTTTACTTTATCCATTAACTGGAGTGTACGCATATGATGAGCAATAACAACGCTACCCATCATGGAAAAAGGTTACCATATATAAAGTTTTGGTTAGTTTGGCCGGACTAACACTTAAAGTTTCCAAAATATCAAATATTGTTAGTTATGAATTTAAAAAATGAAGATTTGCTTTTATTTTATTGTACATTTTAAATATTTTTATTTGATTAGTTTCGTTCTTGTTTATTCGAAAGTAACATCTAATGCATCGACGACATTTATAAACAGAGACATTTATAGTTTCCTTTTCAATTTTTCGAAAATCTAAACAGTTTTTTAAATCCAAATGTGTCTGATATATTACTCTGCTGTTGACCATAAAGTCGTTTATGAAGCACTCCGCTCGTATCGAAAGAAGACTTAATACCAATCAATAAAAACGATGGAAAATTAGGTTCTAAGCCGTTGATGACCAGTAAAGTGACATAAGGGTGAAATCTCATTAGCGGTGCAAAAATTTTCTATTTTAAAACACGTGCAAAAAGTTCATCAATCGATTGTATACAACATTTTAATCTCAGTCCTTTCATTAATGGTTAAGATGTTAAATTTTTTCTTGTAGTAAATTGTCTTATTTATTTTTCAATTTACAAAAAATTTAAAAAATAATGCCAAGTATCCACTTGAAATAAATTGTCTCTGGCTGTCGTTTTTCAGATCAGTTGCAATCTCGAAATAGCTAGTGGAGACTAGACAATCACTACAGTATCGTAATCAGGAGTGTCTTGCTCATAATTTTATAAGTTTTTAATTATATTTTTTCAAAATGGATTCGCGTCAGGCGTTTCTAACTACGTATAAAACTATGGAAAAACGCAAAGTCGAAAAAAGGAAAGCTTGACATTTTATTTGGATGTCTGCAGTACAGTTCCTTTTCATGATAGATTAACGGTTAAATATTCTATTTATATTGCCCATGTTTTGGACCAAAGGAATATGTAATACAGTTTTTTATTTCTCACCTAGTGCTTCGCGCACTATAATTTCGTTAAAGATTACTAATTCGTAATATCACACTATGCCAAATAAGTTGACATATTAGTTGAAAAACTTCGTTATTCTAGTTTATCTAAAGTCATTCTCTTTTTGTCAAATAAGAACAATTAATACCGATACACATACACTCTTCCGACAATGACAGAAGACTCAAGTAAGTGACGAGAGCAGAAATGAACATGTCCACTTGTGACACGTGTCTCATATGTCTTGTCTCCGAGACTGTTCACAGGCCATTTTCCATTTGTGAATCTAGTGTCGAGATGCTCTCCACTACCTTTACAATAGAAATAGAACTTCATTTATCCCGTGCTTTGACAAGTTAAGGTTTCGTCTTCGCAATAAATATTAATATGTGTTACAAAATTTCTGGATTCCTCCTGCGTCGGTTTTTGCTTAGTCGAAATCGCTGGCGCTTCGCCAATCATCCTGTTGGCTTCTTCAGAGCTTGACTGAAACTGGCCCGTATTTTACTCTGTACCTGCTTATATATTGTTTGAGGGGGGTGGGGGGCGAATGAGGGGTATAAACACCGTCTCGGATGACTGATTCCCAAATTGGTGACCTGAGTCGCGGTTAAGATTGTTGGGTTCTTTATAGATTTCTAGAGACTCTCGGATTTTTCGTTGGTAGAAGAACTGATTACATGCAAGAATTTTAGTTTTATCAAATAAAATTTTATGCCCGGTTTCATGAGTGTGTTCGGCAACAGCGGATGAGTTTATTTGTCTTAGTCGTAAGGCTCTTTCGTGTTCTTTGACCCTAGTTGATATTTTTCGACTAAGCAAAAACCGACGCAGGAGGAATCCGGAAGTTTTGTAAAAAGCATTACAGTAGCCTGCGGAAGTTTCTTTGAAAAATTAATATGTGTTAATAAATCATATATGTCACAGGTTATATGTTATTGCCAAGACAAAGGCAAAACAATGGAAATGTAAAATCACTAGATAGAAACGCATACACATATGAATACAGAATTAATACAATAAATATTAGCATAAAAAAAATCAATGTGAATAAGGCTTAATTATTTATATCGAAAACAAAATTCCTGAACCGAACAGGAGCAATGAGCAAGCGGATATTCTTTCATTGCTCTTTTAAGAGTGATGTGTTTTAATTAAGGTAAAATAAACGAAGATGCGAGGTAAAGGCATAATCCTGTGTCTCAATAAAAGGGGTCTGCAATGAGCACGATAATGCCCACCAGAGATGACCCTAATCGCTCTCTTTTGTAATTTAAAAATGGTCTGTGCTGTAGTACTGTGCCTCCACAATGAAGTGGTGCAAAATAACACGTTTTAAGGGTATCGAAATTTCCTCTTTTTAAAAATATCAGACTCGATAAAGCTTTAAACAATTCATCTGTGTGGTGTGACCACGACAATTTATCATATATAATGAGGCATAATAGCTTAACAGTGGTACCTCGAGTTAGTCGGTATTTTCAAAGTTCAAAATTTTTATTTAAGAGAAGATTATTGGCACCGAATCATTTTTCGGTCAGATCTAAAGCAGCATTTGAAGTGTCAGATAAAGTTTCAATCCTGCCTCTAGAGGTAACAAATATTTTAGTTCCTGAGCGTTTGAAAGTTCGTTTATAAAGAAGACCAGTTGGGATCTATTTTTCTGATAACTGATAAGTTAACTGATAAGTTGATACCGATAGTCGCGCATGTATTAAGACATAAACGCGGGTCGATGTACAAGTGGTTTTCTGTTCTTGCTTGAATTCGAGCTTGTTCATACTTGTGTACACAAACTTTTCTATATTGAAAGGCTTTTGTCAGTGTCGCAGCTATAATATTTTGTATTTCTTTATTCAAGTCTTTTTTGTGAACATGGCAAATTTACAAAAGAATTTCTCAAAGACTTCATTGAATTATACAAATCCTATTGTGTAAAATAAAATCCAACGAATATATAGATGGAAACAAGAAAAATGAAGCCTACAATGTGTTAATGGTGAAACATCAACAAGTAGAGAAAAATGCGACTAAAGAAATGTTTAAAACCAAAATTAACAGCCTTCGATCTAGTTTCTGAAGAGAAGCATAAAAAATGATGGAGTCGAGAAGATCAGGTGCTGGAGCAGAAGAAATATATGCACTACATTTATGGTATTATGACCTACTTCTAACCGCTAGACAGTCTGTTAGTAACATCAAATATAATGGAAACAACATTGAAAATGAGGGTCACAGGTCAATAAGAGAAACTGAGAATTACTTAGAATTGAAGTTAAACATTTATAACTAATCTTTCTACACATTATAAGTTTTATTTATATTATACTATAATAGTAATTAGGAACTAATTAACGAATCATTCTTTCCTGCCAATTTACGGTGAAATAGTTCACAACTAACTATCTAACTTCTTGTGCGCCGTTGTTCGGTCTTCTATTGTAAGCCCGTTGCAAACTAGTCAATTTAACAGTGCCATCTTCAAGATTTTCTCTGAATAAGTTGTTGTCAGGTGCATATACAGAGGCATATCGTCTTCTCAAAAGAAT